TTAGTGCCTTTCAGACAGGGGTTCAGCAGTCTTGACTACATTTGTTCTATTTAAAAGGGAAATACTTAACTAATATAATGTTTAAATTTACATTAGACAAAATTATTTATTTATTATTATTTTTTGTTCTGTCATTTATTTTCAGTGTAAAATTACTGATGTTTACATGCCAAAAGCATTTTTCACTTTTTTTTAAGTCCAAAGAGAAATTAATTATATTGTTTGTTTTTTTATTGTTGTTTTGTGCTGTATTTATTAGTTACTGATAACACTTTAAAATATAAGAAGTTTTCATGTGATTTTCTAAACTAGTAGTATTTTGAAATGAAAGAATACGTGAGAATGCATAATAATGGTGGTAACCGTGATTATTCCTCAGACTATAATTGTACAACCAAAATCTCCTAATCGTCGCATCTCTAATTATGACATACTGCAGTGGTTTGTGTGTTGTATTGTAGTAGGATCACTGGATTCTTTAACAACCGTTTGATTTGGGAAAATAAAAACACACAAATGAAATCAAAATTAAAATGTTTAATGAACAAAAAAACAACTCAATTTATATCGTGACAAAACAATACTCACTTTTATTTTGAATCTGCCAATGAGGAAGAACGGTGATCAAAAGTGAAAGTGCAGGCTAGCAGCACCTTCTGAAAGCATCTCTGTTCGGTTTCGACGTTGGTATACCGAGAGCCGCTTCATGTCTCTGACTAAAATGCGTGTTTGTTCAGTTAATATATGCAGATAGTAAGCGACATCCAGCAAAACTACAGTATTAGTTGTCTTGTCAGCAGCTGCTCGGTGATGTTAACGCTCCTCGTCTCCCTTTCTTTGGTTTATGGTGAGCTCTGTTTATTCGTGTGTTCCTGCCTTGTTTTCGGTCGGTCTGCTAATATATGTACATAGATAGATTAAATATGAAATAATATAGAATTACTTTACTGTCTTACGTAGTTAAAAGGAACATATTAGATTTGCTTTCGGTTTTATTTTCAATAGTCTGACTTTGGTAGCTTTTGGCTCCTCCTGCTGTTGTGGTGAACGTACTACTGTCGTCACAGGGCTGGATGGTGCTGATGTGGTTCTGTCCTGCTCTCTGATCGAGGAAGGGGGCGGGATGGGCGGCATGGGCGGCATGATGGGAGGGGCGATGTTCAAGCGCACTCCCGCCACTCTGGTCTTCAGGGATTTTGTTGAGAATGAAGGTCTGTCACCAGAGCTTGTGACCCCCTATAACCCTCCTGAGACCCCTAATCCCGAGGATCTCATCTTTGAGTTGATGTGTAGGTGCACCGTAAAGTCAACAATCATATGTGTCAGTTAGAAACATATATATTTTCATTTGTTAATAAAAATGATTGCAATGATTTCTAATCCCACAGTACCATCCATTCAGATCCCCAACGCAGACTTGCTTCTTCACGCTGACTGTAATGAACAGGAAGTGGTTTGTGAGATCAGCCGTTACGTTCCTCGCGGAGCTGATATGGATTCCCTACCAGCTCATTTTATTGGCTCAATTCAGCTGGAAGGTGGAGGCATCAGCCTCACTCTGGTGCTACAGACCCTCCACAGTGAGACCACACAATCTGATGCGCAACCACTTATGCAGAGTAAACTGAATCTGCCTCTCAGCCAATCAGCAACGTTGCTGACAGAAGGTAATGCTGTAATATGCTAATTGTTTCATAAAGCAGGCCTGTAGACAGCCTAGTGAAAAAGGGGCTTCTTTTACTCTAAAAGTGGACCTTTTTTCTGCATTTTTTCTCTCACATTTTGTATTTGATTAAAATGTTTAAATACAGCATTTTGTTGACATTTTATGAAATATTGTGTGCTGGATTGTCTTGTCTGGAATCATGTGGATACTTTTTGCAGTAACAAAAATAAGGACTGTTTTGTCAAGTTGCTTATTAAGATCATGATGTGCACTTGTTGTCAGTCCAAACACACCAAACATCTTATTTTTTTTCATCTTAATGTGAACTTCACATAGAGGTAGACATATTATAAGATTAATTTAGGCAATATGTTGTGATAATCAATATGATAACAATTATTATAATATTGATAACAATTATTTTAACTTATAGAGTGCTTTTTAAATATATTCAGATTGTATTAGTGTTTCTTCATCACAGCACCACATGCTTCAATGTTTAATAGGTGATTTGTATTCAAACAGATATTCCTTAAACATTTTCATGTAATATGGCATGCCTAATTCTTACTTTAGGCTTTTTGTTCGTTAACATGTTTTATGCTTATAGTAAATGTGTTTTTAATATAATGTTGCATCTGTTTGGCTGTAAAAGCACACCCAGGTGTTTCTCTTAACTGACGTAGGTCAGATTTGCTTCAGGTCATAATTTATTTTATTTAAATAATTTTGTCTAAAAACAAATAATTAGACCCGACCAGTTTCATGTGGAATGCATCCCAGACCACCTACTGAAGTTGTTCAAGCGATCAGATTTATACCCAATCAGAATAAAACGAACAAAGTGACCGGTGTAAACAGCCTTAAAAACACAGACGAGATGGGATTAGCAGCTTTTGCTGTGCATTGACAGCTAACGGTTGAGGACTCTGCTTTGTAACAAAGCCTTCATTGGACATTTATGGCAACAATAGGGAATGGGAGGTCACGAGACAAATAATGCCCGATATTCTGGACGTCCTGAATATTATGAAAAATATATATTTTTTAAATTACATAAATGACAAACTCTGGACCTTTTGGCTATGGGGGACTATAAGATGTCTTTCATTTGTTTATCGAATGTGTAACCTGAGCAAAAAAATTGGCACCTCATCTTATACTCTTAACCCAGTATATTAAATATACATGTCTCAAACCGATTTACAACAGGGGTGCATCAGTGTAAAGACATAAAAAATACCATATATCCATATATAATGTTTTAGCGAGTCATGCAGCCACAGCATCCACTCCTCCATCTTGCCAAACTATACAAAACAATACATTCATTCATTTATTTTCCTTCAGCGTAGTCCCTTTATTCATTAGGGGTTGCTACAGTGGAATGAGCCGCCAACTAATCCAGCATATGTTTTACACAGCGGATGCAATGCAATACTGGGAAACACCCATACACACTCATTCAATATGGCCAATTTTTTTCAACTATTTTACGTTTTAAACGTTTTACGTTAACGAAAATGTACGATTTTAAAAAAAAGAGGCATAGCACCCTCCCCTAAACCCAACCTTCATTGGGGGATAAGCAAATCGTTCTATATTATATGAATGAGATCATACAAGTTCATACGAATTAGCCATCAAATCAAAAAGTTAGGAATTGCCGTGAGATTGTGTCAGTCAAACTGACGTCAACAGATAAGGGCCACCACTTTAAAACTTTGATTGAAGATTACCAAAACCATTAGTTTTTTTGTGGATTAACTTGCTCTGATTAATTGTCCACCTGAAGAACAACTATGTGCGCTAGCAAAACAAACATTGTACTTTAAATTTTCACATGTACTTTTTAATTGTACTAGTTTTGATGGAATAAAGTCGAGGATCATTCATTCATTCATTTTCTTTTTCAATCGCTTTATTAATCCGGGGTCGCCACAGTGGAATGAACCACCACCTTATCCAGCATATGTTTTACTCAGCGGATGCCCTTCCAGCTGCAACCCATCTCTGGGAAACATCCATGCACACTCATTCAAACACATACTCTAAGTCAACCAATTCACCTGTACCGCATGTCTTTGGACTGTGGGGAACCCGAGCACTCGGAGGAAACCCACGCTATCGCAGGGAGAACATGCAAACTCCACACAGTAACGCCAACTTAGCCAGCCGAAGGCTCGAACCAGCAACCTTCTTGCTGTAAGGCGACAGCACTCAACACTTAATACTTAATAAAGGGACTAAGCCGAAAAGAAAATGAATTAATGAATACATGTATATATAGTTAAAGTCAGAATTATTAGCCCCCCATCTCATTTATTTATTATTTTTTTAATTTCTCAAATGATGTTTAACAGAGCAAGTAAAATTTTCACAGTATGTCTGAAAATATTTGTTCTTCTGGAGAAAGCCTTATTTGTTTTATTTCGGCTTAAATAAAAGCAGTTTTTTATTTTTTTAAAGCCATTTTAAGGTCAAAATTATTAGGCCCTATTGTTTTGATAGTCTACAGAGCAAAATATCGTTATACAATAATTTGCCTAATTACCCTAACCTGCCTAGTTAACATAATTGCCCCAGTTAAGCCTTTAAATGTCACTTTAAGCTGTATAGAAGTGTCTTGAAAAATATCTAGTCAAATATTATTTACTGTCATCATGACAAAGATAAAAAAATCTTTATATATACACACATATATATATATATATATATATTAGGGATGTAACGGTATTGTAAATACCGTCATACCGCAATATTAATTTTTTTCGATATTACCGAAGTCGCATGACTCGGTAAAACTATAGGTCTTCTGAGAAAATTTGCTCAGGCGAATGAAGCGAACGGGAGGTAGCTGAAACTACAATTGCCATCAGCCCATGCTTGACCATCATCCCTTGCGGTCTGTTGTCGCTACAGATCCAGTAATGCGGAAATGGAGTGTGCTGCTAGAAGCGGGGATGAAAAGAGCTGGAAAACTCTAAAGCAGGTCACACACCAGAAGCGCCGCGACACGGCGCGTACATGACAGATTAAAGTATCGCACACCAGACGCGCACATTCGAATGATATTTAACATGAAACTAATCAGATGGCGCTCTGTGGCGCGGCTGAAAAATGAACTGCGTCCTGAGCCGTCGCCGGGCGCCGCCGACAGCCGCCGACTTGCGGCGCCGGTGTGTGTATCCTGATAGAAACCTATGATTAGAATTCTAAAATACGTGGCGCTGTGCGGTGCGCCGCCGAGCGTCGCTTCTGGTGTGCGACCTGCTTTACACGCACAGTTCAGTCCTGCATTATCTCCGTGTAAGTTCAGACTTCGCAAGTTTGATCAAGGCTGCAGTCTCTTCTTCTCAGTTTGATATGGAAAAGCAGATTATACCGAGGACACGGGTAAATCTTCAAAGGGAACAGTGTACTTTATAACTTCATTCACATCACCCTGGCTTCGTTGTTTCACTTTCTCAACAATAAAATGTAAACATGATTTAAGGAACTGCCTATTTTCATTTTAATATTAGCAACTTAGACAGCAGACATGTTGAGGCGTCGTGCTGCATATATGAGCGTCATCTTCACTGTGTGGATATTTATAACAAAACGGAGCCGATAACAACTGCCTCCTTTCAATTTCAGTGAAAATACGAAACACAGCCTCTCTTTTGCTGAATATCAGTTTTAAGAATCGATAATGGCCATTTTAAAAGTATAACATACAATAAGCTTATACATTATAGGAAATAAAGGCAAGCGATCAGTCAATATACAGAATGTACGTGGTTACATTAATCATTAACTTATCTTTGCGCTCAGCCAAAACACGTTACCTGAGAACAAGTAATAGATTCCAATGCCTAAAGTCAGGGAATATGTCGTTAGATAAAGACAACAAGATAAATGAAATATCCCGTTTAATAAATATAGTGAGATTAGATCCAGCGGGAGATGCTTGATGAGAAGCAGAGCTCTCATCTGGGTAGATGGGCTGAGTGTGATTAAATGTTGAATGTGATGAGTTTTCAACAATACTAATTTGAAACTTTATTTTTTTACATGGTTTAATAATTTTTTGTTATTAAAATTGAAGTTCCTGTTTCAAAGCTTACAGATAGATGGCTAATTTGTATGTCATTGACACTTTTGGCACTTTTTTGGAGTATTTTCATAAGTTTTGTTTTTTCCTGTAAATGATTCAATAAATACCGTACCGTGACATTCATACCGAGGTATTACCGTACCGTGAAATTCTGATACCGTTACATCCCTAATATATATATATATATATATATATATATATATATACTGGCCAGCTGACCAATTGGTCAGACACCTCAAGTCTACGTTGGAAATGTTACTATGTGTTAACTGTTGATACTGTTACTGTTAACACTGTTTCAATCAAAATCAGCACAAATATTCCCTTTGTCAGATGTTGGTGGAGATTTCATTTGATACATTGCGCTTGATGAACATTTCTCCTTTTTGGGAAATGTCCCATTCCAATGTTTCAGAAGTTTTTAGCATCTCGACCAAAACCAAAAAGTGTTGCAAGTCTGAGGTATCAATCACTTCAAAAGTCGTTGAAGAAGTACAACGTATATAAACAATCATGTACTGTAACAATCATTTGTGTGTTTCATGTACTGAATTTTCCTCTGTCTCTTTCTCTTTTCTCTGTACCCAGTTGTGTTTGTGGTGTTCTCTCGTGTACCATCCATTGTGGCATTAATAGGGGGTGATGTGATGTTGGACTGTGGCTTCAGACAAAAAGAGTCTGTCCCTGGGCAGGATGTGGCTCTGGAGTGGCGCCTTCAACACAGAGGAAATGGCCGTAAAATTCTTGATATGAAGGCAAGGGAGATGGAGACAGAAATAGGATCAGATGGTGAGAATTATTCTGTAAACGAAGGTGAATTTTGTTTGGATGCTAAATGTCAATATTATCGTACACTCCAGTATTCGTGGACCGGGAAAACACCAGCACTGAAGCAGATCTTCTAGTGAGGGATGGAAATGCCTCTCTAACTCTCAGGACATTGCAGGTCTCAGATGAAGGCACATACATCTGCACCGTGGGCTCTGGAGACTTTCAGACTCAACAGATCGTGCAGCTTCACATTACACGTGAGACTTTCGTTCTGATCTAAACCTTGCTGAGATTAATTGACCATCTATTTAAAAAGATCTCTGGTGCTCATTTTTTTTAAATGCACTTTAAATCTCTCATTTCATTTATTGACCAACAGTGGGCACGTGGTCATTCTGTAATTTAGTTATATTTAGTTAGTTTTGTGATGTTGTGTTGTGTTTCAATTTCAAGGTATTCTGTAGTTTAAATGATACATTACATCCTAAATGCACATACTGAATACTTTTGCATATAATTCTGCATTATTTGCATAAACATTCCTTGTCTCATTTTGATCATTTCTACATGGTATGTTGATTGTAAAATGATAGTATTAGATTTGTGTTGAAAATAAGATAAGCTGTCAGACAAAACTATTCAGTATGTTTTCAAGCTAATGCAAAGTTCATCAGGGCAACACAAACAATTTTGTCTTGTGAGAGAACGCAAATGCCTTATTTTTGTCATATTCAATATTATTTACCATCATTTAGTGAAGTTTATTTATAAACTAATTTCGAGAGGAGCACATGCATATGAATTAACTAACTGCATTAACTAACACATGAATTATCAATCAGATGAATCCTAACTCACTATAAATACCTTACCTTAGTTATCTTCGTCTTGAAGAATCCCCCCTTCCACTCCTACTCCTCCTCACTTTTCCTGGATAGGGTGGCAGGGCGGCTCAGTGGTTAGCAATGTTGGCTCACAGCAAGAACGCCACTGGTTCAAGTCTTTACTAGGCCAGTCGACACTTTCAATGCGGAATTGACATGTTCTCCCTGAGCTCGCGTTGGTTTCCCTCGGTTTCTCCCACAGTCCAAAGACATGCAAGATAAGTAAATTGACTAAACCAAATTTCCACAATAGATGAGCTTCTTGTCAGGCTCCTATCTATGCTTTTCAGTCAGCAGCTTATATCTTCATAGCTATCCCTATAATCTGTCTTAGGTCCCAAACTCCCCTCTCGCCCTTCAAACAGAAGTGAGCCTAGGGCTCTCTCCTAGGACAGCTTGCCAAACAAGCTTTATTATCAACTATCTGTTAAGTGTGAACTCTTAAAGCTATGGTTAAGCACATACTGTTAACAATTTTTATAAATGAAACAGTATTTAACTGTAATATGAACTGTATTATACTGTAGGACAGTTATGCAGTATGCTGGTGTATTTTTAAAGTTGCATTGTGAAAATGACTGTTAATTTTACAGTATAAATATATGATATTGTAAATACATGCACACACTGTAAAAAAATCTTTAATTTTACAGTTTATTTTCAGCAGCTGGGGTAAAATAACGGCAGTTAAATCATAGAAATTTACTGTAAAATTACTGCTGTTGAATTACAGAAATTTACCAGAAATTTAAATGTAAGGACATTTCTGTAATTAAATATCTGTTATTTTATGGTATATTTCTGTGATTTAACAGCCATTATTTTACAGTTTTTTTAAATATAATATATAATATAATTAACCATAAAAGTACAGATTTTTTTACAGTGCAGCAGGATAAATGGTGCTGTAATTGACTTACAGTAAGTTACTAGTGAACTGGTACGAAAACTTTGTAATAAACTGCCGGTATATTTTCTGTTATTTTACAGACTTATTATTCTGTATATTGCTTCTTATACATTATATTATTTCAAACTATAAAACGTATTTCAACCTATAAAATGTCAATATAAATAACTTTGTTAAACTGTAGAGTTGAATTTTCGATATCAATAGTGGACAGAGCAGAGATTAACATCCCATAATGCAATTCACATCAATAAACAAGCAGAAAACACTTTTAAATCTTAAAATACAGAAACTGTTAACGAACAGATTTCTTTTACAGTGTAGATTCAACAGGATATTGTTAACGCATTAAAAGAAAAAAAAGGTTTGATAATATGCAAAAAAAAAAAATATATATATATATATATAGCTTTTTTCTAATTATTTTTGGGTTTTTTTCACCTTTAATGTGATAGGACAGTAAAGGACAGACAGGAAAGCATTGGGAGCAGGGAGGAATCTGTATAGGACCTCGAGCAGGGTATTTGGGTCGCCATGAGCACCTTGTGGCGCTAAATGTCAATGCACTTAACCACTAGGCTATTGGTGCCAACTTAAAGTTTTTTGTTTTTATTTCATGTTTCTAATTCAAATATCTAAACATTCTTAAATTGGAAGCAAAGTAAAAAATTGTTTTGTTTCTGAAAACAGTCAAAATAATGTTCTAGTGAAGTAAGCCAAATAAACTTGTTAGATTAATTCTCTTATAACCCATTATCAGATTATATCGTTCTTTTAAAAAAGAAACTCACTTAACTTTGACTTTGTTTTTATTTAATATCAAGACCATTTTTTTTGTCAAGAAAATGCTTCTTGGTTGAAGGATTTTTTTTTTTTTTTTTTGATAATTGGACTAAAAACAAGACAAAATCTCTAAGAAAATATGTGTTGCAGTGTGATTATCACAGTTATAAATGTAATTTATACTATATTAGTACTGGATATTTATAGTTTAATGCTGAGCTGAGGCAAGGATAAAATAATTAAATCATATATAAAGAAGCAAAAGTAAAAGAAAATAATCAAACAAATTAGTTTGAATACAAGTCCACATGTTGAGTGAAAAAATAAGCCTTAAAAAAGTGCTCGTGTCTGAAAGACATGGCTTGTATTCAAAAGCTTTACATTACAGAGTGATAATTAGTCAAAGATTCTGTTTGATATCACATGATTGCTTTTTTACACAGAACCGCCTCGCATCACACTTTCTGAGGAGAAGCTGTCATTTCCGGATAGGACACCTCAGAGACTTAGCTGCCATTGCAATCGCTACTACCCTCTGGATGTGCAGGTCAGCTACATCACAGCAGACGACAAATCAAATCAACCTGAGTGACAAATCCAAAACCATATTACAGTCTTGAGTTTGTTTGGAGCTGAGTTTTAGTTTTGTATCCTGACTTGTCTGTGCTGCTGTCCTGCAGGTGGAGTGGTTTTCACAGGCTCCGTCTTCAGAAGAGTCTATCTCGTTGTCTAAGGACTCCTCGCTCTCCAGTCATCGGCAGCACAGTGATGGAACATTTTCTGTCTCTTCTCACCTCACCCTGTTACCAGACAAACACCCACCGGGGACTGTTGTCACCTGTAGAGTCTCACATCCCTCCCTAGAAACTCCAACTAATGCCACCCTCACTGTGGAAGAACCTGAGCCAGGTAAGATATACTTGTAGTTTTTCCTCAGTTGCTTTGGGTCATTTGGCCTTGGCTCACTTTTTTAAAATTGAACAACAAGTTCAGATCCCCGAAGCAGTAGTTTCTTTTTCTGAATAAGAGTTAGCACAGCTCTCAACAATTACGAACCATTTTAGGTTCTCAGTGAAATGTTAATATCCTTCAAACATTCTTTCATTGTGTGAGCCATCACAGGCAGAGTGGTCCGTTCATCTCTCAAAATCAGTCTAGCATGCGTGTACACACAAGAATATCTACAATATATCAAATGGAAAGTAATGTCTGCTAAATTGACAATGCATCAACTTAGAATTATAAGGTTTTATCTGACATTTTTGTCAAAGTTGAGTTGTTCACATACGCATATGACAACTTATTTACATTATGTGATGTTTTTGTAAAAGTTGTCTACATTTTAAGACTTTTTATTTAAAAAAACAAAAAAGGCTTTAGCCCCAAAGTTGAACTCTAGCTAGGCTCTATAAGGTTCTTTTTGTGAGCCAATCAGCATTTCGAATGCACGCACGAGGACCAATCAGGATGAGCTTTCCTTGTCATTCCACCGGACCTCTACGTTGTTAAAAAAAATTAATATATAAAATGTAAAATATATTTTTCTTTGTATTTATATAGTCAGTAAAATATGTTCTAGTGTTAATTAAACTTTGTTAAACAACTAATTTGCTCATTATCTGTTTTCTTTTAAAGTTTTTAAATCTGATATTAAGCCTTGAAGGCCAAGGAAATAATTTCATTCATGAGGTTTTAATTACAACAATAAATATTGCCACATTAATTACATAAAATGAACATCTGCTCTGGACAAAATATTCAGCTCAGCGTTGTATGCTTAATTTGAACAAGAAATAAATATTTATCCTAAAACATTTATTACATTACATTACATTTATTACAATGCAGATAGAACCTTTTAATTCTAAAAAGTCATTGTCCGCGTCTAATTATAAGGTTCTATCATTCATTGAAGTGTTACTTTTCAAGAAATACAATCAGCCTGCTTATTTATTTTATTTAAAAAAATATAATTTGTTGTTGTAACAAAGTGTTGATGCTTGAGAAAGTTACATTTTTGCTTTCTATTACATTCATTTCATGTTTGAGGATGAATATTTTTCTCGTTTAAATTAAGCATACAAGGCTGTGCTGAATGTTTGGTCCAGTGCAGCTGTACATATACAGCTGAAGTCAGAATTATTAGCCCCCCATTTGAATTTTTCTTTTCTTTTATAAATATTTCCCAAATGATGTTTAACAGAGCAAGGAAATTTTCACAGCATGTCTGATAATATTTTTTCTTCTGGAGAAAGTCTTATTTGTTTTACTTGGCTAGAATAAAAGCAGTTTAAAATTTTTTAACACCATTTTAAGGTTGAAATTATTAGCCCCTTTGAGCTATATATTTTTCCGATAGTCTACAGAATAAACCATTGTTATACAACAACTTGCCTAATTACCCTAACCTGCCTAGTTCACCTTATTAAACTAGTTAGGCCTTTAAATGTCACTTTAAGCTGTATAGAAGTGCCTTGAAAAATATCTAGTCAAATATTATTTACTTTAATATTATTTATAAAATAAATCAGTTATTAGCAATGAGTTATTAAAACTATTATGTTTAGAAATGTGTTGGAAAAAATCAGCTCTCCGTTCAACAGAAATTGGTGAAAAAATAAACGGGGCTAATAATTCTGTAGACTTCAACTGTATATATTAGCACATGTGTAGTAACTGTTCTCAGCAAATCTTGTCATGGTGAGAAAAAGCTTAAAAACTGCAATAGGTGTGGCTCACACAATGACAAAAACACTTTGGCAACATGTTTTTGGCATTGGCTTATTTCATTACTCATTAACTCACTTTTGAAACATTTTGTTCTGTGCCTGGTTTTTATAAACAAAGCCACTATGTAAAGATTTGCTATGTACGTGTAGTTTCTCCAGCTAACAGTTGAACAACTATCAGTCTTACATTTCAGATTCACATCAGCACACTATCCATATCTGTCACTGAATTTAAAGTTTTTAAATTTTTCTATTTATCATATTATAAAGGTATTATGTTATATATTATATGGCTAACTTTTAAGCTTTTTTATAAACTTTTTGACACTAGTCTAAGCACTTTATGTTTCTGGCAACTGGTGTTCAGCAAGTTGTGAAGACTGAACTTGCAGATTAGAGAATGTTAAGCCTGTTTCGAAATATGTGCCAAAGCCATTGAAGGAAAAACTGTCACCAATGATATGTTCACAAAGAGTAATAGCAAAAATGCTTTGATAACTGTAAAACTGACAATGCCTTAATTTAGAAATTCAGGAAACCTTTTCAAATGAATGCTGATCAACCTTTTCAATTGAACAGATACAGCTTTCTGGACAATAAGCTTGATGTTGCTGATATCAGTGGTGTTTTTGTATCAAGCGTTTAAAGGTGGAGGTGAGTTGTTGTTGTTGTTGTTGTTGTTGTTGTTTTTTACACACAAACACATATTTCATTTAGAAACATATTCATTGTATAAATGATAATGCAGAACTCTATAAATGTATATAATATTAAGTATTTAATTATAACTACTATTTTGAAAAAGTTTGAGGTCAATAATTTTCGGAACAAAATGAATTCTTTTGTTCTGCAAGTAAATTAATCGAAAGTGAAAGTAAAGGCTTTTACATGATGAAAAGACTTTATGTTTATGAATTAATCCTGTAAAATGCATTCTGGTTTACAGACAAACAGTTTAATAATAACTAGAAATGTTCACTGAATCAGCATTATAATGATTACAAGAGCATAATGTGACACTGAAGACTGAGCTGATTATGCTGAAAAGTCAGTTTGTCGCAACAGAAATAAAAGACTTTTTTAAATACATCAATATCACTTTACTTTTTATTGTTTTATTTACTTATTAACTTATAACATTACTTTAAATGGTTATATTTAGCAAAATGACTGTTTGAAAAAATGATAAAGTAGTCTTGGTGAGTGAAAGTGGTTACAATCACAATAATTATCATACTAGGCATACTGACCCCAAACTTTGTAAGGGCAGTGTTTAAAGCAATGCATTTGAATCATGTAGCTACACTTAGATAAAGTCTTAAATGTTAAATGTATTCATGGATTTATTTTGTTTATTATTTCAGTGTTTTAAGAGAAAAGCAGCAGCAACCTACTGAAAGAGGTCTTGGAAGGAACCATTTTCGTTATTTTGATTTGCCTTTTTCTTCATCCGTCTTTAAAATGGATTTGTTTCCCTCAGTCATGGCACATTTGTTTAAGTTTGAGGTTTTCTGTGTGGCTTATTCAGTAAAAGTAAAACAACAACAAAACAAAAGATGATTTTTAATTGTAATGTTTTGATTGTGTAATGTTTATGTGTTGTACATTTTATTTGCTTTAGTGAACGAAATAAAAACAGAAACAGAGATGAGTTTTGTTGAAGGTTTTATTCAGGGGCATATAAGCATGCGGTTTATGCCATTAAAATCTTCCAGTGGCTGATTTTACCCCTCTGTTAGCCCATACACCCTTTCATTCATTCAGATTTATGCACATAATAAATAAAACATCATATACTTTGCCTTTGTTAACATTACAAAACAAGAATACACATATAGAAGTTCTCCAACAACAAAACTAAATATAAAAGACTGTGCTGAGGAAGGAATGTGAACCAACAATAGTAAGGAATGTGAAAACCAACACTTACATATTGCATGGCAGTATAGACTATTGTGTAGGCGTTTCTGCATTGATTATCTGGTCACTTGTGTATGTTTCAGTACATTTTGGCAGGACTGTAGCATTCATGTCTTGTTCCCAGATTAGGCGTTTTCACAGAACAGGTAATTGAGGTTTATTTTGTTCTTAACAGGCAGTTAATAGTAATAAATCAACAAGTCTAACAGTGGATTGTTCCGCCATGCAAATCAGGGGACATCAAATCAACTTCAAACACCTTAAGCCTTCTATTTTACCCTTCATTTCATTAAAAAAGTTGTGTCGAAAAAAACAAGAGTTTTACAGAAAAGTTTTACAGAGTGTGAAAACTACTTTGAATTCGAAACAACCGTTTTTACTGTAAACTTTTTTTACACGTTTTTTGTTGTTGTTGTTGTTGTTGTTCATGGTTGTTAAAGGATTTTAATGGGATCATTGATGCCATAAACACTCTTAAAAATAAAGGTTCCAAAAGGACAACTTTTCTTTGAAGAAACTAATAACAATTCTTCAAAGAAGCACTTTTATTTCTAAATGACTAAGATCTAAAGATTCCTTTTCCACTATAAATAACTTTTTTGTTTTGGAAAATGGAGAGGTTCTTTAGAGGTTAAAGGTTTCTCATGGAAACTATTAATAACAAAACAATAATGCCAATGCAATGGAAATAATCTAAATATGTGTAGGGATAAGCTAGTCTAAATTTGTAGAATGTCAGATGGAAGGTTTTTTTTCCACACACTCATTTTTTTTATAAATGCTCAAACATTCTCTGTTTTACATACAATACCACTCAAGAGTTTGTTATTCAAATATTAGCTGATATTGGTATTCTCATATAGTCTAAACAGTAATGAGTAAACAGCAAATAATTATTTTGGTTGAATCAACTTTATACTTATCATCAGTGATCTTAACTTACAACAGTCAAACTGACTAAAGATTTAAAGTTTGAAGGTAAACTTTGACTAAAAATGTTTAGCTGAAACCTGATGAATGAATGTAACACTGAAGCATTTGTTGTCATTTCAATTTTTAGAGTACTGATATTTCATATTTTCTTTCCACCTATTAGAAAAACCTAGAGGCTCAGCACACACAAATGAACTAATTTACACTAATTAACACACAAGCAGCTGTAAAAAAATAAATAAATGAAGCTGCTGAACATATATGAGCAGTAGGCAGTGACCTATTTTCTGCATCTTAAATCCTTCATGCTACATGAAACTCTTCTTTTACATTTCTGTTGTGGAATCGAATACATTTTATTAATGAATTTAATTCATTTATTATTGAATTTCAAAATTTTTAGTTGTAGTAATTGTATGTGTCATTCTATATATATAAATTTATTATTTACAATAATTTAAATTGTTTTAGCTGTAGCTTTACCAAAAACAACAATAGTCACAATTAATAAATGTAATAATTAATAATAGCTGCACTTATTTGATCAAAAATACATTCGTTTTTTTTCAATCGTTTTGCTACAAATTTCAGAATCCAGATGTCAATTTTCAAAACTCTATAAACACAAAATTTACAACCATTGCCAAAATCGCACGTTTTTACAAAACTCTTAACTCTTTTTTTTTTTTCAAATGCTTGGATACAATACAAAAGTCAAATATACTTTGTTCAATAAACTAAACCCCCCTTTACAATATAACACAATTGAACCAAATTGATCCCATTTCCAAAAGCAACTCAAACATTACATTTGAAATAACTGTGCATTAATTAAATCAACACGATGTAACTATCAACAGATACAAGTGCTTGAAATAATAAGTAACTGCTGCATTACTCTTGATGCATGGATACTGATGTACAACATTACATATTTAGATGATGAAAGTTTTAGGATAGGCATCAGTTAGCACAGAAGATGACCCAAAAAGACACCATCATCTATTGATTTCATCCTTATTCATCCTTATTCCTCATATATGAGTTCCATGTATCACTTTTACAATGTATTACAGGCATGCAGAGTTTTGAGCACTGAGAGTCTGTGTTAAAAGTGGTGACTGTTTTGAATTTTGAAAATTGACATCAGGGTTCTGAAATTTAAAGCAAAACAATTGAAAAAAAAAAAAGATGTTTCTTTTTATATGCTAATATCGTAAAATACTTTTAACAATGCAAATGAACAATGTTTGGTTTCAATATTGTTTAAAGCTGGTAATATTGATTAACAAATATTGTGTAACATTTAATTGATGAATTTTACTATAATCTGACATATTACATATTACAGAGACAATACTATCTGCGTCATAGTTTTGTGTAAAATAATAGTAATTGATCGGTTTGAATGTAACTTCCAAATTTTATTAAAATCTGTATGAAATCAAGGTTTGCCATTTTAGAGTCATGATATTTTTAACCACCATTAGTTTGCTATTAGGGAATGATGCGCAAAAAAAGAAAGCCCCGTCCCTCACTTAGTGTTCCATTTCAGTTGGAAGTACATCAACATACTGAAATAAATGTCTCAGCAACTTGCGGTTCACGCAGACTTTAAAAGAACAGTGTTTTAATATTGTTTAACAAATATTCTGTAAAATGTCATTTGTTTCCGTCTAGGCATGAGATGATAACTGTATTTTAAGATATACCGCGGTTTGGAAAAGTCAAGGTTTTAAAACCACCAATATTTTCTGCTATATCGTTTCTATGGTATGACTTTTTATTTACGCTTTTTAGCAGAAAATATATCTAAAGATGCCATTTTAAATTGTAAAGAAATCTGTGTTTTAGAAACTAATGAAGACAGCAGAAGTCCATAATTTATTTGAATTATTTAGCCTGTCACATTTACTGCCCCAAAATATTTGAAATGTTTCTCATAATAAAATATATTGTGTTCAAAGTTTTAGTTTTTTACCCAGACATTTAAAAATAATTTATTTTAGCTCAGTAATCAACAATACTGTGAAACCGTGATATTTTTATCCAAGGTTATCATACTGTCAGAATCTTTTACCGGTCCATACCTATTTCTGTCATGGAAAATATGGATTTTCAGCACACATTATTCCAGCCAGCTTCATAGTTTTGTAAAAATGAAAGAAAATTTATGATTCATTTGAATTGGACTTCAAAATGTCATTAACATTTCTAAACGCAATAGCTCTCACATTTGATTAAGCATCTATAACTTTTTTTTATGTTGAGCATTAAAAACATTAGATGATGGATAACAAAGCCCAGAGTGTCTTCTTTCCAAAGATACATAAACTGTGAATGTAGACCGAATCGTTCAGCAACTGTAAATGTTTTAGTATGGGAAGATCATTTTTGAGAAAGTGCCTCTGACGGTGAGGGAGAGAAAGACTTCGACATAGCCTCAGAAAACTTTTTACACAAATCTCATTTTGCATGCTATCGTCATCAAATTTGATATATAAACTCATGAGACATTTGGCTTTCAAGCCATATATTTTCTAGAACATTACATTAATGTTTTCCTGTGTTTGTATATGAAAAACAAATATTGAACACAATACAATTTTTTTTTTCTTGTGACTTCATAATGTATAACTTTTTATATTTTTTAACATGTAACTTCTCCTTTTACCAAAGAAAAGCTCAAAGCGTCTTCTTTCCAATGATACATAATTTGTGTTTGTAGCTTACTGGAGTCAGGAACTGTTACTATTTAAAGTTGGGTAGGTGTAAATCCCCAAAATTGAGTGCTGGCTAACAGGTTAATTAAAAGCTGGTTTTGTTGATGAACTGAACGCTTCCTTTGAATGGTATTGTATGCTTCTCTTTTTTTCTTCTTGGCCTCCCCCACTTATTCTTAGTCTGTTTGCCTCACTCTCTTGCTCTGTGCATTCGTGTATGAACATCTGCATGTGAATAATGCAGGAGATTCTGAGAGGGAGGGTGGCTGTAAATATAGAGCATGTGAAGTGTGCCCATTCTGGATATCGGCATTCTACTGTGCAAAATGACTAAATGAGAGAGACTGAGATTGAAGAGAGGAGGATCTGGGAACTACTGGAGGTGGAGCACACGACTGTTCACTCGTCATCCGTTCAAGAGAAGAAATACACTAGACGTGGGAAGATAAAGTAAAAGGTGGTCAACACCCGTCAGCAAAACGTCTTTCTGTCAGTTCAGTTTTATTTCACCTCATAACACACTGCCAGCACACCTGTCCTTAATGTATAATTCACTATAATGTGTGTGTTGGTGAATTATTGAGTGTGTGCAGAGCTTGCCAGTAAATACACAATCACCTATAAATACGAAAATATAATACAAAGTTAGTAGAATAGTCTACACTTTATTTTCACAGATCACGCTAATAACAAACCATTAACTCAGACTTTTAGCTCAGTAAACCACTATTTAGCTGTTTATTAGTAGTCGCTAAGGTAGTAGTTGGGTGTATGGATGTAGAATACGATCATACTTTATAAGTGTAATATATTGATAATAGGTAGGCAGGTAATAAGCCAGTTGTGAATGGTGGGAATCATTCAAAATGTGGAAACACATTATCAAGTCAAAATTCACACTATTAACAAAAAGACAAACTAGGAATTTTAGCTCAAAAAATGACCAAATAGTTGATTATTAATAGTTTGTAAGGCAGTAGTTGGTTCTTGGTTTAGTTATGGTGTAGGATTTGGGATATACGGTTGAAACCAGAAGTTTACATACACTAAAAAAGGAACATAACCATTTTTTAAAAAATGTCTGATGGTAAATTATACTAAACGTTAACTATTTTAGGTTCGTTAGGATTACATAAATGATTTACATTTGCTAAAAGCCAGAATAATGAGATAATTTATTTTTAGAGAATTGTTTATTAATTTCTAGACAGTAAAAGTTGACATACATTTCCTTGGTATTTGTTTAGCTTTGCTTTTAAACTGTATACCTTTGGTCAAATGTTTTGGGTATCCTTCCACAAGCTTCTCACAATAGTCTGAAGGAACTTTGGCCCATTCTTTCTGACAGAATGGGTGTAACTGAGTCAGATATGTTGGCTGTCTTGCTCACACAAGCTTTTTCAATTCTGCCCAGAAATATTCTATAGAACTGAGTTCAGGGCTTTGTGATGACCATTTAAAAACTTTACTCTATTGTCCTTTTTAACAAGTTTACACACATTTTAACTAGTTTGGCAGTATGCTTAGGGTCAGGGTCTGTTTGGAAATGTGGCATTTAATTTCCTGGCTGATGTCTTGAGATGTTGCTTCAGTATTTCTACATAATGTTCTTCATGATGCCATCTATGCTGTGAAGTGGACCAGTCCCTTCTGCAGCAAAACAGCCCCACAACATAATGCTGCCGCCCTCATACTTCACAGTTGGGATGGTGTTCCTAGGCTTGTAAGCTTTCCTCTTTTCCTCCAAATGTAACACTGGTCATTACGGTCAAACATTTCAATCTAATTTCCATGAGATCACAGGACATGTCATTTATTCATTCATTTTCTTGTCGGCTTAGTCCCTTTATTAATGCAGGGTCGCCACAGCGGAATGACCCGCCAACTCATCCAGCAAGTTTTTACGCAGCGGATGCCCTTCCAGTCACAACCCATCTCTGGGAAACATCCACACACACACAGACACACATACACTACGGACAATTTAGCCTACCCAATTCACCTGTACCACATGTCTTTGGACTGTGGGGGAAACCGGAGCACCCAGAGGAAACCCACGGGAAGGCAAGGAGAACACGCAAACTCCACACAGAAACACCAACTGAGCTGAGGTTCGAACCAGCGACCGTTTTGCTGTGAGGCGACAGCACTACCTACTGCGCCACTGCCTCACCCAGGACATGTTTTCATTTCATGTCTTCAATAATTTAGCAAATTGTAATCTGACTTTTTTCATTGATTCTGGCTTGTTGATTTTCCCATGTTGTCACACAAGAAAGCAGTGTGTTTGAGGTTTTCCCTTAAATACTATTCTACAGTTGTGCCTCCAATTAACTCAAATGTTCTCAATTAGCCAATCAGAAGCTTCCAAAAAAAAAACTTGACCCCATCATCTGAGCTTTTTCAGAGGCATAACAATCTTATTGTATGTAAACTTGACTTTCAAGAAAAGTAATAGCAATTTCTATAAAAATATCTCGAAATTATTTTGCTATTAAGCATAACAGAAACAATCCTATATAATTGATAATCCTAACTTACCTAAAAGAGAAAAAGTTCAGTCACATTAACATCTGCTTTTTAAAAAATGGTTATGTGCCTTTTTATACAGTGTATGTAAACTTCTGGTTTCAACTTTAGAATATAGCTATCAAAATTTATAACTAATTCTGAGTGTGCCTCACACAGGTGAGTGGGCTTGACAAACCACCTGTAGACACACTCTTTCATCTCTCTGACACTTTCTCACCATCACTCCATAAATTGTGAATTTATTACGTGAGCTTCAGACAAGTTGTCGCAATTGTACGTTGTTTTGGACAAAAGCGTCTGCTAAATGACTAAATGTAATATAAATGTAACTACTAAACAGGTAATATCTTAATAATATACAGGTAATAGGCCCATAGTTAATAGCACTAATTGTGACTTTAAAAAAACCGTGACGATAGGGCTAATAATAGGTAATTGTGTTGTTATAATGACATAATTGCCTTTGTAAAAAGTATAACTGACATCTAGTGTAATAAATCAATGTTGATAATATGTTGTAAATAGCCCATACTTCAAATGAACAGCTGACATTATTCACAACTCACAGAAAATGATTCCAACGAAGAGGACTCCGATGACCCCCATAATAATCATCATCTAAGACAAAAATCAAAATAACACATCAACACGGTTTAAAAAATGCAGGCTTCCACACAGGTTGTCTAAAAAAATCAAGCTTTTTATTAAATGAAGGCTGCACGTAAAGTCTGCAAAAACAGAATTCCAGGGACGCAGGATCTGCAGAACTTTTTAGTACATTTATGAAGAAGTGCCTGCGCATAATATCCAAACAATAAATATGTTCTGTCCCAACATTTGTTTGACAGATTACACTGCTTTTTTAATCTTATTGTACATCTTAAAAAAAGAAAAAACAACAATAAAACAGTGTTGATCCTTAAATACAGTCTTATAACACATATATGTTAAAAACACTGCATGCCATATAGTAACAAAAGTAGCAAGTAGTCCACACACTATGCAAAGAGCTGTACTGATATTATATATTCCTCTGTATCTATTAAAAACCCAAAGGCTCCAACTGACACAATTGAACTAATGAACACTAGCAGCTGTACTAAACAAAATCACTGAGCATACATAAGCAGTGGGCACTGACCTATTTTCATTCACGCGATTTGAAGCTCAGAGAACATCTATCAGTCATATTATAGTTTATTCTTATACTTTACTTATACTATATTATTTGTTAATAATTATAAATTATTAAAATAATTTTTTGTGTAAATATTAATCTCAATTTTAATTAGTTTTAGGAATTGCATGTGCTTTTGCTATTATTTTTATTTTATAATATATATATATTTATATTTATATATATACAGTTGAAGTAAAAATTATTAGCCCCCCTGTTTTTTTCTAAATTTCTGTTTAAGAGAGAAGATTCTCTCACATTTCTAAGCATAATACTTTTAATAACTCATCTCTAATAACTGATTTCTTTTATCTTTGTCATGATGACAGTAAATAATATTTTACTAGAAAAGTTATTTTATAACGATGGTTTGTTCTGTATACTATCGGAAAAAAAAGCTTAAAGGGGCTAATAATTTTGTCTTTAAAATGGTTTTTAAATATTTAAAACTGCTTTTATTCTAGTCAAAATAACACAAATAAGACTTTCCAGAAGAAAAAATATTATCAGACATACTGTGAAAATTTCTTTGCTCTGTAAAACATAATTTGGGAAATATTTAAAAAAGAATAACAAATTCAAAGGGGCTAATAATTCTGACTTTAGCTGTATATATATATATTATATATATATATATATATATATATATATATAGATATAGATATATAGATATAGATATAGATAAAGATAGATAGCTTGACTTCAACTCAAATGTATTCACACACAACAAATAATTAAATGAATAAATAAGTTTAGCATAAATGAGCACACCCCTAACAAATCTCTTTTTTAAATTAATATTTTATATAGGACGCCTTACAATAATATATGTGTGTCTAGACATTCGATTAGTTCCGAAAAAAAGACCAATGGCAAAAATGTGAACTAATCTATCAAAGGAATCTTAAGATCACAGTTCAAAAAGTTGTACATCCAAATGAATATGTTGGGGGAAACTATTAAAATAAACTTTAATAAACAGAAATAAATCTAGAGAAACAGAAAATATACATTTTTATTTAAATTTTGTAGTTTGTAATTGTATCAATATATTTTTGCAATAACTCATTTAAATATAAATGTATTGTTTTTCTATTCCTAAAGATGTTCAGTGACCAAACTTTTATTTAATCTAAGGACTATTTGATTTACCCCTTTTTTTGTTTAGATGCCCCGAAATATTGGCTATATTGACTGAAATTGCTGTGCACTGTATACAACAGACACTTAATAATTCATTTTAACTATTATATTGAAATATTGTGTTCACTGACTTTGTGTTGTAGTCTCACCTTACAGTTCTTCCACCAGTACTTGTTCTTGAGTTTGGCAGCACAGCTTTCAAATTGTGAAGCCCCAGCCTGTAGAGCATCTGCCCTGTCGTCCAGCTCCGACAGCTTCTGATCTCTCTCCAACACTTTATCCACATTCACACGCATGATATCCACCACCTCTCTCACAATCACACAAACACACCACGCAAGAAAGAACCACACTAAACAGTTACTAAAGCAATGAACTCTCTTTTGATTATGCATTATTTTGTGTTATTTAATACATAAAGTGCCTAAAATATTTGTAAGTAAAAAGTGCGGCTGTGTCTCTTTTTGAAACAGCATTTGAACCTTTATTTCTGAGAGTGTATATTCTGTCCTCTGCATGTTTAATGCTGTAATTGTTTTGTCCATAAGGTCTGACCATGCAAAGGCTCACCTCCTCTACTTGTGCTTGTGTTTGCTGTAATCTGCGGTTGCTGGTGGTGTTTGGAGGGGGAGCAGGAGCACCAGCTCCTCCAGGGCCACCAGGAGCACCTGCTGGATTTGCATCATCTGCAGCAGACCTGAATAAGAATCAGGACACATATTCTAGAGTGAATTTGCTAACTGCACTGTAAATAGTGGTAACAGCAATTTTTATTTTAAAGGGCATTTTTACTTGAATAAATCCACAACATTAGTTTTGTTGGTAGAAATGTGTGTATTTTGGCTCAATGATTATAAATAATATTTATGGCTTGTATAAAGTTGGACATAAGGCTACCTAAAAGTTAAAACCATACTTGCATTCTGCCTTAATCGTTCTTTTTAGCTAAATTACTTGTCAGTAAAGTGTTTTCATTGTTCAAAATAGCAACTTAGTTATAAAGTAAATAGCTGAAAAGTGTAATAGCCCCTCTTTAATTTTTTTTTCTCTCTCTTTTTTTTTTTAATATTTCTCAAATGATGTTTAACAGAGCAAAGAAATTTTCACAGTATGTCTGATAATATTTTTTCTTCTTTTCTTGCCTATATCACCATGGAGGTGTAGTGGAGCTAAGCTAAGCAATATACTGCAGTACAAGCTAAGCTACAATGTAAATTTAATCCAGAACTACAAATGTGAGACACTTTCCTGTGAAAGTAGAAAAGGGTATGCAAATAATTGTACATTTGATTAAGATTAATAATAATAATAATAATAATAATAATTATTATTATTATTATTATTATTATTATTATAATACACCTAAATGAATAAAAGCAAAGTATTAGTAAAACATTAGTATTTAGTAATAGCCTGTACAACAAATAGCCTACTTACATCTTTCAGCTGGTTCGGAGTGTCTCACTGAAGAAGAGTCGAAAGATAAAATGCTAAATTAAAGCAGTGACGTACAGGCAGAACCAGTCGGAAGCGAGTGACTGAATATTGTAAGCGAGTGACTGAAAAACACAGTTAAAGCGAACTGCTGCTTGTGCGGGATCCCCATCAGCGCATGTGGCGCATATTGTCGCAGCGCGCGCCGGGCAGTGATGAGAGCGGTCGCGTGCTCGGACGCACGAGCGCATGTATTATTGTTGAATTCAGCCTTAAGCCACAGTACAGTAACTACAGTAACCGATTTTTTTTTTAAAAAATGAGCAAATGTTTTTTTTTTGTTAAACGTTTTAAAAATGAATGTAAATTAGAAAACCATCACTGCATACTCCAAACATCCGTTTGCCAGGCTGTTCTGCTCTCGGATGTGTTGGTTTGTAGGTTAGTGCAGTAGATGCGCTCCTGCACTGCGTCGCTCCTGAAGCTGAACTCATGAGGATGATGATGATGATGACGATGATGCGCAGCATGTTTCCACAGCCCCATATTTCTCACTCACCCTCTCTGTACTGCGGCACATTAGTGAATTCAGAGTGCTGAGTCGGCGTGTTTTTTTCCAAAGGGATTTTCCTTCTCAGTGATAATGGTTCATACGCATAATTAACATTCTAGGGCAGCATTTTCACGAATTTTGCCGCATAATATTTAAGAACAAGCCGAAGCTAATCTGAAATGTGACCTATTACGTGGAACAAAATCACTTGTTAAGTGGTTTGAGCAGTTGTGAGGCAAGTGTGTGAATATAGCCTGCCTTTAATGGTGAAAATTAATAATATAAAGGTGGAGATTTAGGATGCACATCAAAGTTCCTGAAAGCAAAGATCAAGGTACTTCAGGATTGGCCAGCCCAGTCACCAGACATTATTGAGCATGTCTGGGGTAAGATGGAGAAGCCATCTCTTTGCCATTCCAGAAGACTTTATGAATAAGTTAATTGAGTTATTGCAGAGATGTATAAATGCAGTCGTCCAAGCCCATTTGAGTCATGCACAAAATATTAATTCTTTTTCCAATTCACCATGACTAGAGCCAGACTGAATCTGTAGACATTTTTTGCTATTTCTGCAAAGAATTTTGTAAATAAATCTGCAGATTTATGTGGAATGGTTATGGGAGTATCATAACTTGTCTGTGTGTGTATGTATATGTCTATGTATAATATATATATATATATATATATATATATATATATATATATATATATATATATATATATATATATATATATATATATATATATAAAGCTGTTTAATAAAAATATTAAATAATACCTTTTTAACGTTAATGTTTACAATGCAAATCCAATTAGATCCACTTAGTAAACAAAGCAAGTCTCTTGTATAATATATATCTACCAAAAGACAGAGCATACTACATTACAAACTGTATTGGAAATAAATCATATCAACATTTTTATGTTAGTCAATAATATTACTAAAATAAAATAAATAAATAAATATAAATTTACACACATTTACACAAGTAAATTATTAGAATCATGGGCTAAAATCTGCTGAAATCTGCACACACAGATTCTGTGTGGGCCAAACCATGGCTTATATTCTATACTGTACATTATTTCTGTTAAGTGACAAGACTTTTGTCTAAGCAAAGTCAGACCTTACTGTCCTAATAAATAATTACTAGATTTTTTGACTTTTGCCTTTCATATAAGCCACTTTGGATATCAAAATGACCAAGTTACGTTTTTATTTTTTGCTCCTAAAACTTGGATAGGTGACGAGACTTTTGTCAGGTAGTGTAAACTGAGAATCATATTTACCACCTTTTTGAACAACAAAAAAAAATTTCAAGGGTCTGTCCCACAACTCCAGTGATGTTTATAAATTTCAGTAAAATTAAATAAATAAATCACCACCTTTTTTAGATACCCTCAACCATAGCAAAGCCCTTTATTACAAAAGGAACTGAAAACAGTGATACAAAATGAACAAAGAAACTTTTACAAGATGTTAACCAAAAACACAAGAGAAATTAAAGAGATATTATAGCTGGGTCGCTTAAAATAACCCATCTAACAAAGAAACACTGAAGAGAGCACTACTATTTTAAGTAGCGTCACGTGGTTATTTTCTGCTCCATCAAATATGTTACAGATCAGATGCTACTTGATGAAACTTAAGACAGACAAATGAAAATGCTTATTCATCGTTACAGGTAAGTGTTTATGGATATTTGTTTTCTTTCAGAAGTATTTGTTATTAGTCTGTTCTGTTGTTCCTCTCTCTAACATCTTCCTCTATTTCTTCTCATCCTCTTTCTTGCCCTCAGGTGGTTTAGTTCTGTTCTGAGACGCCAGTGAGCCCATGGCATTACGAATGGCTTCGTTATTGGGGTCGACACCTGGTAGGTTCTCAAGCACACTCTGCAAAAACTCTGGATCCTGCATCACATCGTAATCCTCCTCATCCTCCTACACAACACAACACAAACATTTTAATACCTTTGACCCAAGCTTTAAATAACTACATTTCCATCCACCTATTTTATGTGCATTTTGGATTTGCGCATAAAAAATTGTTGATGGAAATGCCAAGATGCACATACATTTTGAAAATGCGCATAATAAACATACGCATAACCGAGTAGTAAACACTTTATGCGATAAGAAAAGATGCGCATAAACTGCAAAGAAAACACTTTCACAAAACAAATTCCAGCATGCGCATTAAAAAAGGTGATGTGATTTTGTTTTTTTAGTTTCACACAAAAGTTAATTTGCATTTTTGGATGGCTAATATAACACAGCTAATGATGGTAAAAACATGCCTGAAATATTCCCTTTGGCTTTAGTTTCTTACTAAGAGAAATATCACTGATGTTAACTCTTCCTCCTCTGTTTTGACAAAGTTCCATTTCTTCCCCATGCTGATTTTCAATTTGAGCTTCAAAATAATATGATATAATGTATATATATGTAAATACATTTATTTAAAACACTAAAGTCAGTAATTAAAAAACTACAGCATCACTGAGCTTTAGTATTTACAAAAATAATGAGAAAATATTTTAAATATAGCACAGGGAAGCTGACTATCATGCCATTTGCAATGCATCATGGGAGTTAAAAGCATTTCTGATTGATATAAACTTTTTTGCAGAATCATGGGTCCTGCATTTCCCTGACAGGAGAGAGAAAACGTATTGCCGTATCAACTTCAATGGCTGTTTAAGGGAAATATTAGATACATTAATATAGACAAATTTCATGGCTAAACATTTCCAAAACAATAAAAAACAAATAACAATTAATAAAACTAAATATTAAAAAAGGAAACAGTTTTTTTTTTTATATTTATTTTTGATAAAAATGCTCCAATTCTTTAACAGGGTTTCTGCAGATTTCACCAAATTTAATTTAAGACTTTTTAAGACCATTATGAAAGAAATGTTAGACGTATACAGGGCTAAACGCTAAGGACTGTTTTTCAAATATCCCAGTTAGAAAAGATTTTCACTTACCCTATCAAAAAATGCTTAAAATCGAATACATTTAATAATACAAAAACAATAATAATAAGCAAATACATTCATTCACAAACCCATAACCCTTACCAAGAATAGAACAAAACAGCTGTCAATAATTCAGTCTACAATAATAATAACTTATTATTTAAAAATATAGCTCATGTTATTATCCTCAGCAGTAAATAAATGGACACTTTCAGCAAAACTTACTGTAGGGAAAGTAATTAAATGCTATTTTTAAATAAAAATATTTATTGAGATATGATTGTTGGTGATTGTATGGGTGTTAAAGGTCAGATTGGGGAGCTATACATGAACAAAGAAAAATTAGGATCTGTTTAAAAAAAGACTTAAGACCTACAGCACAACATTGGAGTAGATTTAGGACTTTTGAGAACTAAAATTTTGCTTTTGATGTTTAAGACATTTAAGAGTTTAGGACCCCGAGGATACCTTATTTAAAGATTTTTTTTTAAAGTGTCCCTGCAGATAAAAAGTGTTGTCTGAGAATATTATAAATGGCCTTTAAGCAGTTAGTTCACCCAAAATTTTAAAATCTGTTCTTAATTAATCACCCTAGTGACATTAAAATCTCCCAAGACCCACATTCATCAAAAACAAATGCCTTTGTTTGCCAATGTCTTCTTTTGAACGTCAGGTCAGGGTGCACGTCTTGATCTTATGCAGAAGACTTTGGCTAAACAAACAGTTTTTGCAGTTCGTTTGGCACACTTAATTGTTCTTTGAATGGTTACAGTTGAACCACTGAAGTCATGTTTTGCCCAACACAATCTCACGGCAATTCGTAACTTTTTGATTTAGTGGCTAATTTGTATGAATTCAGACAATTTAATTTAACAATTTAGTACGATTTGCTCATCCCCCAATGACAATTGGGTTTACGGGTGGAGTTAGGTGCCACACCTCCTTTTTAAAATCATACAATTTCGTCTGACTAAACACGTACGAATTCATCTGAATTAGCCACTAAACTGGCAAAACGTAAAATACTTAGGTTTTCTCATGAGTTCAGGCTGATTTTGCCAATGTTTTTAGATCCTTTACGGGACTTTTGTTGCTGTCTGTGTATGGCGGATCAGAGAGTTCTTAGATTTGATCTAAGATATCTCAATTTGTGTTCTGAAGATAAACCAAGGTTTCAGGAGAATTGAACAACATGACGGTGAGAATTTTCATTTTTGGGTGAACCAACCCTTTAAGCAAATGTCCATGAGTGCTGAAGGTGTTTTTACACTACAAATATAGTCTTGAAACCTGTGCTGATTTTCAAGCAAAGCTGACAAAAGGTACACGAGCACTTTACTTCAACAGAACCAAAGACTAAAACATAACAGTGGTATTTCCTTCAGTACAGGCAAATCTAATTTCGTCTAATGTTTTAGCATTTCTGTTTTGTTGCAATTTCAGTTGTATCGTTTTATAAGACTACTGATGAAAGAGCTTTGATGTTTAAAGGTGCAGTAGATTGGAATCATTTGGCTGCAGATTTTTGATCCATTACATCATTTAGGATGCTTAAGAAAACTTTATTGTCAAGTTTTACTTTGGAATGCACATGTTTTTTTCTTGAAAATGTTATTGATTATGATTCAGTAACTATGGTTTGTTTCTTGACAATCTTGATGCCTTTTTTTCTTCATTTCTGCTTGTGTTTTGTCGTCTTGTTATGGTCATTTGTGTTTTGTTGTCTTTTGTTGTGTTTGTGATGCGCCAACGTAAAAACGAGATGGAGCATCTCAAGGGGTTAGTCACAATAAGATAAAATAGATTCTAAACAATGAAAAAGAAAAATACACGGTTTCTTTTAATTAATCATACAACAAGTCTGTGTGTAGTGCAACATTCTGATATCAGTTCTGAAAGCAAAGCAGGAGGTAAAAAAAAATGGGCTGGGAAACGCACCTTAGGAGCTTCACTCTCTGCTGCTGCAGCTGCTGTATCCACATCCATGGCCTCTGAACCACCAAATTCTGTGCTCAAAGAAAAACATTGCTGTAAACAAAACTGCAAAAGGGCAGAAAAAAGGAGTAAGAAAAACAATAATGGAAATGACAGTAAGACTGACCTCCTCCTTGCATGGACATCTGAAGGGCGTATGCGATCTGTTCATCCTCTGTCATGCGGCTGAAATCAGGCAGAGCTGGAGCTGTCGACATCTTCAACAGGGCATTTTCAGACTCTAACACAAATGCAGGAGACATCAGGTCACAATAAATAAAACATACACACGCATATTCAATTCACTTTCACTTTACAGTTATAAGCTCGGAGTAAGGTCACATTACTTAACTTCGTCATATTTCCAAAAAAAATAAAATAAAAAATTTGTTTTTTTAGGATTGATAATGTGTTGAATGCTGCTACTTCTGACCCATCTGTCCACTGTTGGGGAATGTGCAGACCTTTTTTATTTTAATTTTCATAACTGAACAGTCTTGGTTTGCGTCTTTTAATCTGACTCTTATAAACCGTGTTTCTTCCTTCTAAACATAAAACAGTCTTAAAATGTCAGATGCAGAACACAACATATTTGTCCTTTAAATGACTTTAACACAATTTGTTGTTTACAGATGGAAGGAAGTGCCTGGCACTGACTTCGATTGCATTTTTTTTGCAAGCAGATCAAGCAAACCTATACAGCGTTTATTCACACTACCTTCCACTTGACCTCTCATTTCACTTTAAATCACACAAAAAGTAAAAAAATATTTATCTAAATGTTTTGTTATGCTGCATTTCTGACATGCAAGAACTAATAAAAGGAAGTAGAAAGAAAATAAAAGGCACGCATGGGCTTACATTGAAGTGCATCAAACAGAGATCCATTTGAATATTTTTTGGCATGCAACACTTTCATTCCTTTTCAAAAGTAAAATTGGCAAATCTGTAATTTTAGAAACATTAAAGCAACAGTGTTAATCCATTTACGTGTAAACAGCTGTTCATTGGGGCTGCATGACTTTGAAAAAAAAAAAAAAAAAAACTGCCAATGCAATTATAATTTTTTTTGTGACACAGTGGATCCAGAAAGTAAGCAGGTAGTGTCTGTACATTGCTGCATTCATCCTTCCCTCTATCCTGACTAGTCTTCTAGTTCCTGCTGCTAAAAACCATCCCTACAACAGGATGCCACCACCACCATGCTTCACTGTAGGGATGGTATTAGCCTGGTGATGAGCTGTGCCTGGTGTTCTCCAAACGTAACGCCTGACAGTCACTCCAAAGAGTTCCGATTTTAGTTTCATCAAACCAGAGAATTTAGTTTCTTATGATCTGAGAGTCCTTCAGATAACTTTTGGCAAATTCCAGGGGGGAGTGTCTTCCGTCTGGCCACTCTACCATACAGGCCTGATTGGTGGATTGCTGCACAGATGGTTGTCCTTCTGTAAGGTTCTCCTCTCTCTACAGAAGAACGCTGGAGCTCAGACAGAGTGACCATCGGGTTATTGATGACCTTCCTGACTAAGGCCCTTTTGCCAGCACTAGGAAGAGTCCTGGTGGTTCAAATCATCTTCCACTTACGGATGATGAAGGCCGCTGTGCTCATTGGAACTTTCGGAGCAGAGGAAATTTTTTTGCAACCTTTACCAGCTTTGTGCCGCGAGACAATCCTGTCCTGGTGGTCTACAGACAATTCCTTTGTCTTCATGCTTGGTTTGTGTTTTGACATGCACTGTCAACCCTGGGACCTTATATAGACAGATGTATGCCTTTTTAAATCATGTCCAGTCAACTGAATTTACCACAGGTGAACTCCAATAAAGCTGCTGAAACATCTCAAAAATGATCAGTGGAAACAGAATGTACCTGTGATCAATTTAGAGCTTCACGGCAAACGCTGTGAATACTTATCTACATGTGTTTTTTTTTTTTTTTTTTTATTTGCAACAATTTCAAAAACTATTTTTTCACATTGTCATTATGGGGTATTGTGTATATAATTTTGAGAAAATAAATTGTAGTAACATAAAAACATAAAAAATTTGGAAAAAGTGAAGCGCTATAAATACTTTCTGGATGCACTGTTTATATTGCAATATGCATATAACTCCACAGAATGACTTGAGTAACTATTTGAAAACAATTTACAACTTTACATTGACTGAGATGATTTTGTAAGGGGGTGCAAAGCACAGATGAAAATGAAAAAAGATTTAAAAAGAAATTTCGATTTAAAAAAGAAAAGTGTTTCATGGTTTTCTGTGGAGTCTAACAGCATTGAGGTTCAGAAACACAAAAATGTAAAATAACACTGTAAAGTCTTCCTTTTATAAATTAACAACTAATCTGTTAAAGTGCAAAGTTTCTCATTTCTTTTGCCAAAATGGTTCAAAGTTGTTTGTAATCTACAGGCACAGGCCTTTAAAACACATACAAATGACAATCTTTCAGACTATTAGAATTGATAAGATTAGGTCATATTATATTATTCCCAACATGACACTGCAGATCCTGTGATTTAAACTTAATTAACTTGATAAACTTAATTAACTTCACGTGCTGACTTCTTTACTACAGTTTTATGATGAAAATGACTGAGTCTCCCCCGATTGTTACAAATAATAGTACAACGGCAAGCATGTCAAATAAAAAAGCCTACACAATCTGCAACTGCAGAGTCTCATGCTGCAGATCCAGATAAAGTATAAATCAGCCTTGAGTAATCTCTAGACGTTTATAAACTTCATCTAGCCTTCAATAAAATGCTGGCCACTTCTCTTACCATCTGCAGTAGGAGATGAGACTCCAGCATCTGCAGCTGAAGCCACTGCTGCCCTCCGAGCCTCTTCCTCCTGCCTTTGTCTCTGCTCCTCCATCGACACACGCAAAGCCTGGAACACAAACAGAAAAGTTGATTACATGAAAATATAAAAAAAACAAAAAAAAACAATGTGTGCTACTCTACTCACCAGAGCAAGCTCAGGGTCTGCGCTTGGGTCCACTCCAAACTCAAAATCACTGGCACCAAGGCCCATAATAGTGCCACCCTCTCCAGCCATGATAGGAGATGATAAGAGTGCATCTGCCAGGCTTGGGCCAGGAGGAACCGTGACCAGGTGAGAACCCACACCCTCCTTTCCATTCAGGGTGTTCACAAACACAGTCAGTTTCTCTGTGTTGACCTCCTTCAAATGTAAAAGGGCACAAAATTAAATAGAGCAGAGAGCAAAATGACATGGATGAAGAGAGACAAATTCCGAAGGAGTGTATAAATCTGCATTCCTGAAGATTAAGGGCCCTATCATACACCCGGCACAGTGGGGCGCAAGACGCGGTGCAATAGTCTTTTGGTAGTTTCAGCTTGGCGCAAGAGTTGTTTTGAGGCGTTGCGCTACGCTGTTTAAATAGCAAATGCATTAGCGTTCATTTGTGCGCCCATAGGCGTTCTGGTCTAAAAAGGAAGGCGTTCTGAGGTGCACTGCTGGCGAGTCGCTATTTTGAGAAACTATAATAGATTTTTCATTAGACCAAAACTAACCTGGTCTAAACTCCGGCGCAGTTGCGCCTCGCTTACGCACTGCTTAATACGCACAAGAGAGCAATAGGCAAATATCTTTACATATAAAAAAATTTAATATTAAGGATATATATAGGATATAATAAGAATAGATATAGGATATAAATATAAAGGATTAAAATATTACAAAACATATTATTTTCTAGCCTACATAAATATGAAAAATCACTGCTTTTATGTCTTCTTCATCTCGGGAGGCTTTTTCAGTTCATTCATAACAATTTGCTTTTGTATAATGTTATTATTATTAGCAGTATTATTTATTATATCCATATTTATATTTGTTTTATTAAAACAAGCTTAGATTTGCCCACCTGTCAGGTTTTAGACCATATGGGGCATGGCAGGTGTATTTGGAAATAACTCAGTATTTTGACCACACTTGGTCATTATTGTTCATTTATTCGTTTGCTGGAAATTAAAACTGAATTTAGAAATAGTTTTGAAACGAATATTTGCGCTTAACAAACGCAATTTTATTATGTATAGGCTAATTGATGTCTGTGCGTAAAGGTTTCCCTATCCAAGAGCGAATGTGAAAGTAGATCCATTATCTCTCATTCTCACGCAGTAGATGCTCTGTTTAACAGTTTTCTGTTAAAATAAACTGTTAAATGTTTGCTTGTGAAATGCTCATTTTTTCCACTTAGACTTACTTTGCATCCTGTAAATAGCGAATGCGCTCTTGGCGCGACGCAGCTAGGTCTTAAAGGGAATGGGAGATGAGACTCTAACTGGTTTATTCTCAAAACACTCATTAAGAAAATAAACTCAACCCTTTTAGCCCATGCGCCTTGGCGCAAAGCGCATTTTCCCGTAAGTAAATTAGCAAAAAATGCGTTCTGACATGCCCTGAAAGCGTTTGCGCCCTGCGTTCTGCGCTCTGCGCATGGACCGTCAAAATAGAGCCCTAAATGTTCACCTCTTCTCCAAAGTTAATGATGTCAACGCTGACTTTTTCCTTCTTCAAACGTTTTGCCATCTTCACCAACTGAGTGAGAGAAGAAAGAGGAACAAACGGGCAGATCAATAATATAGTGTGTTAAGTTTTTGTAAATGCAGACTCATATAGAGCGTGTTTTACACTAAAGATATCAAGAACTCACATCTTTCTCCTGGTCCTCCACAGGGCTTCCCACAAAGGCAATGATCCTCATCTTATGGTTCTTTCCCTGTCTGTGTTTCAAAGCCAGCTGTAAAACAAAGAAAACAGAGAAAATAAGAAGTATGATGAGCTAGCATGGGCCAATAAAATAACATTTAAGTAATTTAAACTGCAAGCAGCATTAACAGGGTCAAGCGTTCATGGTTTCAATACCTCTGTGGCTTCACAAACACAAAGCATCAGAGGCACAAAAGTTCAACTTGGCAGTAATCTCTCTTTTTTAGCAATTTAAAAATGCTCATGTTTTTATTTATCACTTTTTTTAAATGCACTTTTGTGCAAGCAGTGACAATGTAACTGTGCAGGGCTCCTTAATGGATACAATATGATAATAAATAATTTAATAGTATTATATCATAGTTTCTACAACAGTTTTAACACTAATAATTGTAATAACAAAATGACATCTGAATGATTTCTAAAGGATTATATGTTGTTGAACACTGGACACTGAACACTATTGTTCTATGACCTCATATAGGGGACAATCTAAGTATTGCAGCCTTCATCTTTCAGGTTGAATTAAAGATAACAGCTTGGTTTTTTATGGTAAGACCATTCAAGATATCCAAAATTTTTGGCAATTTGAGATGCTGAATGTCTTTGCATCATGCTGACAATTTGACATGAATTACATTTTTCTTTACAAGTAGTGTAGAGAGAAGGCTTCCTAGAGAGTGAAAGTTTGATTAAATATGATCCATATAACTAATTACTACAGCAGAGTATACAAACCACAAAAATGTGAATATTAAGCATTAAGTTATTGTGTTTGTGGGTTATGTTTCACAGTGGCTTTAAATGCAATGAATAATGTACATTTCAGCACAAATAAACAGCAAGTTATAACTGTAATTCTTTGTAATAATAACAATTTATTAAAATATTAATTCAATTAAATATTAACCCTGCTGAAAAATCCAGCTTAAACCAGCTTAGGCTGGTTGGCTGGTTTTAGCTGGACGACCAGGCTGGTTTTAAAGGGATTTTGGTCACTTCCAGGCTGGTTTCCAGCCATTTCCAGCCTGGTCTTAGCTGGTCAGGCTGGGAGATGACCAGCTAAAACCAGCTTGACCAGCCTAGCCAAGCTGGGAGTCCAGCCAAAACCAGCTATATCCAGCTTAAACCAGGCTGGTCAAGCTGGTTTTAGCTGGATTTGGCTGGTCATTTTCCAGCCTGACCAGCTAAGACCAGGCTGGAAATGGCTGGAAACCAGCCTGGAAATGGCCAAAACCCCTCTAAAACCAGGCTGGTCAACCAGCTAAAACCAGCTTAGGCTGGTTTAAGCTGGATTTTTTTAGCAGGGAATTAATTATCATCTCTAATGTTATCCTTAATATCCTGACATGCAGGCAAAATCAAATTGTGTAGTGCAGGCGTGACCAACCCTGTTCCTGGAGATCTACCTTCCTTCATATCAAACACACCTGTCTGTAATTATCAAGTGCTGTTCAGGTCCTAATTAATTGGTTCAGGTGTGTTTGATCAGGTTTGGAGCTGAACTTTGCAGCAAGGTCGATCTCCAGGAACAGGTTTGAGCACCACTGGTGTAGAGTATTCATTAAATAATGATACATTGAAATTAACCTAAAGAAAGTGAGAATATATGATTTCACTTGATTCAATTCCTCCATCTTCACATCTTTTCCTTGTGTCCTGTCATTGCATCCTGAAGGAGTTGGAGCCAAGATGCAAAGAAAGGAAATGAGGATGCACAAAACAAGAATTTAGAAGAACCCAGTGTCTTTATGCAGAGGTTATTACACCTATCCTGTTTCCAATTGCTTAACATTTTTATTGATTGAGTTTTTTTTTATTTTATTGACAATTTAGCATCCTCAATGTCTTGACTTCAAGCGGAATGAATTTGGTGGCCGTCAGATGAATTGTCATGTTTCTGAGCATGTTTTTTTATGTGAAATGATGGGAATAGCTGACTTCCTGTTTGGTTGAGCGCCAACCTTAAGTATCAAAGATGGTCGAGCTGATCTACAGTTGAAGTCAGAAATTTTCACAGCATGTCTGATAATATTTTTTTCTTCTGGAGTAAGTCTTATTTGTTTTATTTCTGCTAGAATAAAAGCAGTTATTAATTTTAAAAAAATTTTGGGGACAAAATTATTAGCCCCTTTAAGCTAGTTTTTTTTTCGATAATCTACAGAATAAACCATCATTATACAATAACTTGCCTAATTACCCTAACCTGCCTAGTTAGCCTAATTAACCTAGTTGAGCATTTAAATGTCACTTAAAGCTGTACAGAAGTGTCTTGAAGAATATTTAGTCAAATATTATGTATTGTCATCATGGCAAAGATAAAATAAATCAGTTTTTAGAAATAAGTTTTTAAAACTATTATGATTAGAAATGTGCTGAAAAAAATCTTCCCTCCATTAAACAGAAATTGGTGAAAAAAATAAACAGGGGCGCTAATAATTCAGGGGGGCTAATAATATTGACTTTAACTGTGAATTGTGATGACTCTGCGTCAAATGGTTTGCCCTACAGCGGCCCTCAATTTTAATAAAAATTGAGCCACTTGAGCCGCATAAAAATCGGACCAGACCTGATGCAGATTCCAAAGTTTCATTGAACATGTTAAGCAAAACATTTTAAAAAATAATATTAATGACTATCATCCTTGCACGAGCAAGAAGCCTATATGGTTGTGTAAAACAGTATAAATGTAACAGAGTAAGATTTAATTTATTTCTACAAACACATTATAAAAAAAAATACAGAACAAAAGAAAATATGATCCAGCCCACTCACATGTGCCACTCTGATGCCTGTACAGAAGCTGATGACTCCTCTGGGCTGAACAGCATGAAGCTTTGACAGAATCCTGCCCGTGTCAGGGGTCAGTGTGGTCAGGACCTCACAGTTACTAAAAAAATACACACAGTTGAGCTAATTCTATACACTTGCTTTTATTACATACAACGATTGCACATTGTATCTGTAAGCAAAGTATACGTCTATAAATCTTTGTCATACTTGGCCATAGTGATGAGTCCCACGTTGTTTTCTGGGTTACTTCGAGTTTTCGAATGACAGATAATGTTAACAGCATCTTGCTGGGCCTGAAGTCTGGTAGGTAAGAAGTCTCCATTGCGCATATATTCACTGTTGTCCACACTAGAAATTAAGAAATATGTAAATGATCATGCAAATGATCAAATTCTACATTTAACATACACACACACACACACACACACATATATAGATGAATTACCATGTTTGTAAACATTCAAGATGCGCATGCAGCGAGGGTGCAGAAAAAAAAACAGGAGCGCTAGCATTTTCAGCGAGGGAATGACATCAGATGCGGTAGTGTTTTTTGTTGTATTAGAGATAAGTTATATTGATTACATATATATATATATATATATATTAGAGCTGTGAACCTACACTAGTCTCGAGGTTCGGTTCGGTTACGATTATCATGCCATCGATTCGGTTCAATTCGATATTTCGGTGCATCACGGTGCATTGACGGTGCTTTCCATTCACAGTTTTATATTTTCTTCACAGCAGCAGTTCTTGTATTAAAATGTATGAATATATTTATATTTAGATATATTATTTGTAATACAATTTTGTCGTTTAATACAAACAGTCAGATATACAAACTGTAACTTTAAACAAAACGAGCATTAAGCAAATAATATAAACAAATATAAACATCCAGCTCAATTTCTGATCCTTGTCTAGTTCTCTTACACCTCTTTGATTGGTCACACCCTCAACAAAATCGGTTGCTATTGGCTCTTGCGCGCTGCGCTCTTCAGATAAGTGACACTGATAAGCGGCAGGCGGCAGCGGCGATCTCACAGCTGATGCATGATAGACACGGTGGAGAAAACTCTGCAGACACGCGCTCGTTTCTGTATCCAAACGTAATGCTGTAAAACAGCCGAGAGGAGAAGAAAAGCCACGCCAGCAGGTCAAATGGGCCACTGGGTGTGTGTGTGTGTGTGTGAGAAAGAGAGAGAGACAGAGCGAAAGCGAGAGCGAGAGAGAGAGAGAGAAAGAGAGAAATGGAGTAGGCTACTTTCATTCTCGCGATCTCAGTGAAATAGGGGCTATTGTTGTATATGTCAGTGAAAGACTGATCTAGCAAACACACACAGTGAAATTGTGCACAGTTTATGAGTTTTAAATAGTTAGAGTGGTGTAAATACTCGCAATCGCCTCCCTCGCGACAGAGCGCATATGAGGTAAATGACGTCAGTAATAACCGGTTATGATTATTACTGAACTGATACCGAATTGTCCGCGTCTGCATCGCGATGCACCGAAGAAACGATTAATTTTGACACCCCTAATATATATATATATATTATTTACATAATGCTTTAAGCGTATTATAAGCACAGTTATTCGGCAAACTGAATGCTAAACTGAGCGGCGTTCGTCTGACAGGTCCATTTGCGATAGCACCCTTCAAATGGATATTTGGATATGACGAAATGGCCCAGCATTTAGCTCCAAATATACAACTATCTCATTGAAACTCTAGGTGTTTTTAAAAGAGAGAAGTTAAAGGCCTACACGTCTTTGGATGCCTACAATGTTGTTCTGTGTGGTCATGTGCAAGACATAATGTTCCATGATTACCAGATTCAAAAAAACTATGTAGTGCTAAAAACAGAGGCTCTGCCTAGCCAAAGTAAGAAGACGGAGCTGTACAAGGCCTGGGTAATCAACAAGCAAAACAACTGCATTCTGACAGCGAACTGCACCTGTAGGGCAGGATATGTGAACGCACATTTTTACATTTTCAATGAAGTAATGTGTATGATTCAGCATAGCGTGAACTTACCCAATATGAAATGAGAACTGCAGAGTCCAGCATTTTTAATTAGGTTCTCACTCCATTCAGCTCTTATGATGGCTGTTAGCCAAAAATGTCTGCGGTTGGCATTAAAAGCAGTGTGGTGTACGGTAAAATTTAAGTTTTCTATTTTGGACTTTTGATTTTGGCATCTGTTGCACAACACAACATAACAGGTTTGCTATTGCAAGCGGTCTTTTTTTGCGGTATACGCGTTGAACCAGTGTGATGTAGGTTGGTAATTCTCCTATACACGCACACACACACATACAGGGATGGGCAGTATTTGTGATACATTTTTTTCAAATATGTATTTCAAATACAAAATAGTATTTTGTCATTTGTATTTGATGGGGTTTATGAAAATGGGTTAATATTTTATATCAAAATACTTTAGTGTCTTGTATTTTTGTATTTTAAAAAACTGTAAAATCCTTTGTTAGAAGTCTACATGATGACATCATAAAAATGTGGCCTCTGATTGATGCTTTCTCAGTTATTTGCCTTGGCTGGAGATCAGAAAATTAAAAACAGAAAATTGATTAGGATGGTCGTTAATGCTTGGAGTGTGGATAGAAATTATGCAACACACACATAAAGAAAATAACAGACATATGACAACAAAAGTCAACAATCATTGAATATAGTACACTGCACAAGACTGGTAACGTATAATGGCAGTATAGTGTACAATATGGCATCAGCATTTTTGCTTAAGAAATGAGATGGAATAAAATATCAGTCCTTAAGAACAGGATGGGGAGCCTTTAGAACATTCTCAGTCTCAGTGCTGCAGGTGAAAATGCAGATGAACTTAAGAAATAAACATCTAAAGACTGTGTACTGGTGTTCATTAAGGGGGTAAACTGAGACTCTTCCAGTTTAAAGAAGAACTGAATAAATCTTGGGGGAATGAGTATACTGTGGGGCCGTGCGATTTGGGGAAATCATCTAATTGCAATTTTTTTTTCAGATATTGCGATTTCGTTTTGATTTGCCATTTAAGTTTTTAGTTAAGCTTCAGCTCAATCACACTCCTTATATAGCGGCCTGTGTGTATGGAGCTAATAATATGCCAAAACAATCTGAATTTGAATTGTGTTCATTTGAATTATCAATAATTGTAATTTAATAAATCTGAATTATTATATGCCTTTAAAAATTGTTTGGATTTTTAATTTCTTCATTTGAATTTCATAACTTGAAAATTGAACATCTGAAATGTAAGACAAGTGAATTTTTCAGGGCTGAATTTTTTTTTGACGTATTTACAAACTTTTTTTGTGTTCTGAATTCATAGACTGCAGATATCCAGTTTAAAAATCCAGTTTCAAATTTTCAAGATGAAGAAATTCAGAACATCAAATTAAATATCCTAAAATTCATTTATATCCTATTGTATAATCTAACAGGGCTGTGCTTATTCTCTTAATGAGTTATGGGTGTGTTTTGAGAATAATGTGCAATGTGTATGCGTTTAAGGCACACAACTAACACGCTCTGCACTGGACAACATGCCAACTGTGCCTTAATACACCTCCTTTATAAACCGACACATGTATGAGTCCACAAAGTGGAGCGAACTGATTTGTTATTTAAACAACGTGTTGCAAAATGGAAAAATTAGGGTTGCGTTGGTCTGAAAATAGCAACAAATCACGCCAAACACATCTTGTGCCGGTTGTATGATAGGGCTAAATCTGTATTACATGGTTTTTACAGTGATTAAAGAAATCATCTTCAAGGCAGGACTTTCTATTTGAAATTTGTACAAAAGTTATGCTAAAATGAAAGAGAAAGTCAGTTTAATGTTGAAAGGACTGATCAAATATGCCTATTGATTGAAGGTTTGTGAAGAAATATCATGCTCCCTTGTGATTGCTAAGTTTTACGTGTATCAAAATACATGTAACGTTATTTGGTATTTTATTTTAAAATACATTTTAATGTATTTTTGCCCATCTTATCCCATATATTTATATATATATATATATATATATATATATATATATATATATATATATATATATATATATACACACACACATACATACAAACAAATTATTAATATTAATAATATTAAAGTATTTAAATTTTAAATTGTTAATAACAAGGTTGACAACGCTATCCAAACTGTAGCCTTCAGCATGCGTGAAGTTGTTTATTTGACAGGAAAAATAACAACGCAAAAAACAGCAATCGCAATTACAAGCTTTCAAACTAAAGACTGTGAAAATAAATCAAAGATGTTCTCTGATATCATGTCAAGACAAAGACTGTTTTACCAGGATGAATGCTCCATCATGACTAAGGAAAACTGCACTTCTGCCCTACCGCTTCACAAAACCCCTTTCTCCGCACCAGTACACAGCATTTGAGCACATATTTGGGTAATATTCATATCATATCACGTTTATCAAACTAAATCGATTGTTAAGAATATAAAGTCATTTTTTCTTACCAGACCATAGTACTTTCAAGCACCATCTTGAAATTTTTTGTCGCTCTACGTGACGTAAGAAAACAAGTACCCGATCATTGGTTAAACTAGCGCAAAACTACAAGGGGTTGTGGGAAATGTAGTTCAAAATGTATTTTGTGCTCTTACTATTCAATAAACACCAGTCAACTAACCATTTTTTTGTCAAAATAGTCTTTTTACACCTTAATTATTCATGTAATGTATGTTCTCTACTTCCATTAGACAATTCTGAGTGAAAAAAGGTGGTGAGGAAATAATTTAGATTTATTATTTTTTTTATCACAAAGACAAAGTGAAAGAACATCACCACAATACTGAATGATGGTAGAAGAAACAGGAAGCAAACACTAAGTGTCCGATTATTGGTTAAAGTAGTGCATGGCAGAGATTGGAACTTTTTAAATTAGTCAGTCGTCTTTTTCCCCTTATACCGTAGCTAATCATGCACTATGTGTTTGCTACTTTTCCAAAGAAAAATATAATTGGCAAAAACCAAAGCGGAGGGAGAAAGTGGTTTGGAAAATATTTTATTTTTTGTTTTATCAGAAAGACAATGTGAAAAACATCACCACATTACTGAATGATGGTAGGAGAAACAGGCTGCAAACACCACACAAGAAAAAGGCATTTCCGTGACTTGCTTATATACATATTTTGTACATGTTTTATACACGCCCGATAAAAATATAGTCCTCAAAGTACTTACAGTTGTCAGTCATAGTTCCTGACACCATCAGACATTCAGATGTAGAAAAGCCCAGCAAGAGCTTTCACAGATTTTAAAATGAATAGAACTTTACCATGGACATTCCCTAAACACATAAAATACAAAATATGCTTTATATTGTCAAGAACTTCCCTCTGACCTGAAATAAAATACATAGTAAGATCACGAAAACTACTGCCAGATTACAAAGCCTATTACAATCATTTATATGGTACATAGAGAATTGAAAATCCATTCAGGTCCATGAGTAAAAAAAAAAAAGAGAGAAGAAGATAACAGAACATTTCTTAATAAATACAATCACTGAAATACACTGACAGAAGTGAATATATTGCAGTATATTGGTTGTCTGTTTAGTGTCAGAGTTGCCAGCATTTAATCCGGTGTGCAATGTGCACGACTGATGTGTCTGTTGTGCAAATATTCCTCGTACTAATACAAACACTGGACAACAAGTCCAACATGAAGAATATCTGTGTCTGTTCGACTTGTTACACCGCATGAACAATTTTACCTTCGTTTTCACTGCATTTGTATTATTGTCAGGATAAAATGTAAAGCAATCTTTGTACTTTCTTAAAAACATCAGAAACCCTTACAAATAGATTGATCAGTACTGAGAGTTGGTCAGAGAAAGGTAGTGATCGTTAGATCACAAACACAAATAAATAAATATCAAAACCCCACATAAAACAAATGAAAGTGAGGCTTGAATTGCAAAAGGAAAAAATAATTATAATAAATAATAATAGTATTATACCAATGTGCTTAGACTTCTATGAGAAACCAAGCCACTGACAGCCGATCAAATCAAATGTTATAAACTATGAAATTTAGATCATCAGACATTAAGAGGCCTTTTGAAAAGAGGCATTTTATCAAGCAAATAAGAAGCACCATAGTAAAAGCGAAACTAATAAGAACACTGTGTGCAATATTAAGATGTTTATAAAAGTAACACATCTCCATCATTGTAGACCCCTTAGCACTGAACAAATATAAGATGAATGCAAAAAACTGAATGTAATGTAGGCCTCTAAGGATTAATATGAGTATAGTTAACGATTGAGGAGAAAAAAATTTAATCAAGAAACAGAAAAAGCAAGCTATTTAAAATCTTTTAAATACCCACTGACCAACTCAACACCCACACCTTGTGTGTGCAGGTATATTTTTAACAAACTTAAAAAAACACCTAGCATAAATACTGCATCCGCTGTGAAGCCTTATACAGGGTTTCATCAATACAGTCATAGTACTTCCTGTGCATATACTCAATTTGCATTTTCTTCAGTTCTGCAAAGGCAAATCCTTTGCAAATATTCACTTCGGTCCCAAACTCCAATGGTTTTAAGAGCTGCAGTTTCGCCAACGGTTTTATTTGGGACAACGCGATACTGTTCGAGACTACAGCCAGCCCTTCATCTAAATGTTTCAAGAGTGCAAAGCCAGTCTGAGATCTTAGCGTGTGCAAGAGGTATCAAGAAGCCTGAAATGCTTCAGACTACACTATTTCCATTACAGTCACTGAGAAACTCGAAGTACAGGCTGTCAAAATTATTCGTTTTCTTTAATAAACAAAGCTCTGATGGATAGAGATTCATCAGGCAACAGTTTCCTTTGCGTCTGCTCTATAAACTAGTGTTTACATTACTTCATTAGTGTCTATTTTCCTTACTCGGTTTATATGCTTATTTATTCTTAAGAGTCTAAACAGCACAAATGTATCAAAGAAATTCCCCATGGTTAAAAAAGATTTTCCATCATTTGAACTGGAAATTGCAGCAATATATCAAACTGGAATGTAAATTTGCCAACATTCCTGATATTGATGAAAAAATTCCCAGTCTGGTCTACACATTACAGGGTTTTGTGGGATTCTAGAAAACACTTGAATGAAAAACATCGTGTAACAAAATCCTCAGTGACGGCATACCCGAAATGTAGCAGATCATGTTGGTCCTTATGTTTGGAGGCCATGTAAGTTTTGAAAATGAGTGTTTTTAATACCAACACGCTGCATTAAGGCAGATGACTGGAAGACATCATGGCACGATCTAGAAATCAGTCTAACGCAACATGTTTGTTAAAAGACAATAGCTGCTGTGCTAGAGGAGCACATTAGTAGCATGTTATAACATACCAGGACACAGAAGGAATAATTATTTACAGAATTATATACATAAACAACACGCAGATATTAGGCGGCCCTCGGTATGGCGGCAATATGTGCGTTGATTAAATAACGAAAACGACGTGCAAGCGGGTCTGTCCGTTTCTCAAAGGTGAAAGCTGATTGGTCCAATGTGCAGGAGCAACTTTCAATAGGACAGGGTGGGAAGAAAAGGCAAATGCATAGAGATGCTGAGTTGATGTGAATTAAACAGCTTCAAAACCAAAACACCTACATCTACTTAGTGACACCTCAGAGAAGGCAAATGTAAAGCAACTAACCATAAAATACTATGCCTGAACGCGGAATTTATTTAGAAGATAGAAAGTTATATTTCGATCTGTAACATTCAACGCTTTAACTCTGAAACAAAGTGGGAATACTTTTTGGTCATTTTCCCCTCTATAAATGTGTTGCTCTTAGGGCGCATGCAGTCTCAATATAGAACGATCCGGAAAACCCATCAATGAGATGCTCTCGTCAGGATTACGCCAAAAAAGAAAAAGAAAAAAACAGTCTTAACACTATTACCCTCAAAAATATGTACAGATATCACTGAGAAATAGAAGTTTCTCTGCTTATTTCTGATCCGTTCAGAGATGAGAAAACCGGAGGCTAGCAGCCACTAGTCCAAGTCACTCCAGTTCAGAGAGAATCAGGTTGAAAGATCTATATAAATAAAGATCTACACTAATAAAGATTTATGAAACATTGCTTCCAACGATAATGTAAAGTGATGCCAAAAAATATGATAATATGTTTGTGCATCCTTAATTGCTCTGGATTCAATGTCTAAGAGAGAACAAAGGCAGTGAAGCGTGTGTGCTTTCCAATCATTTGTATTGTTTGTGGTTAAAACAGATTTTAGCAGCATTTCCGGTGCAAGAGAAAAAGAAAAGTCCATCAAAACTCCTGTCTTGATGGCATTTCTTTATACTCTCTTTTCTCTCTGTCTTGCTAAAACATGTTTCTTTGTGCTGAGAAAACCTGGAGTTCTTCTGAAGCTCCGAATGACAGAAAATCCCCACCATGCAAGCACTCAGAAGCGGCTTCTGTGTCTCCATCTCTCTAAACGCTCTTCTCCTCCATCCTCTGTCCTCGTTCTGCTCTTACTAGAAAAAGCAAGCAATTTGGTCTTTAATAAAATACAGTTTAGTGGAAGTTTAGCATATGTGTAAATTTGTACATACAAAACAAATGTCTGTTTCTGGGATGATGTCTTTGAGTGAAATGGCATCTTCGTTGCTTAACTGCTCATCTAAGCATTCGGCTCCAGTGCTGTAAAAGAGAGTAAAAGATGCGAGTCTTTACATATTTACTTCACCAAAATAAACAAAAAAAAAATGACAATACCAAAAACCAGGGCCGGAATGGGACTCTTTTTCAGCCCTGGAGTTTCAAGCCTTAGACCGGCCCACCTCAGTTCACCACTGACTATTCAGTTTCTAATTACACTATCACGTCTTTTTTTTTTTTTTTTTGAGAAAACAGCTGTTTTAGAACTTCAAGTGTTCAACAACCCTTACAGTATTATATGTCTTAACAATAAAAATGAAAAAAAAAAAAAAACCTTCATAGACGGGGACCGAACCCTGGTTGGCCGGGTCTTAACCTAACGTCCTAACCACTGTACCACAACAGCTGTACGTTGAATGCTGACTTATCTAGTTATATCATCATTACCCTGCAGGCTGCATCTTGCTCACGAGGTTACGAGAAAATAGATAACAAGAGCAGAGCTGCGGTAGAATAATAAATAAGAAGGCTGTGGTCAAGTAAATAAATAAATTATATTTAAAAAGTGTGACTGCTGAGAGCAACAGATTCTGGAGCTAGGGACACCGGCCCTCGCGGCCAAAAAACGGACCGGCCCACCGGGAATTCTCCCGGTCCTCCCGATTAGCCAATCCGGGCCTGCCAAAAACTGAGATCAGTAAGAGTTTTTCCTTTGTTTTCCAAGACTACATTTGTTTGATCAAAATTTCAAAAATACGGTAAAATTAACCCCTCCCCCCTCTGCTGCTATTTAAATTTTTTTTTAATATATTTAATATAAAGTATATTTTATTTCTTAGATAGCAAAGTTGCAATTTAAATGGCATCACTCCAATATTCAGTCTCATGGTCATTCAAATAAAATAAAATAAAAAATTACACCAATATGCTTATTTTGTGCAGTTTATTATTATTATTATCATCATCATCATCATTAAAAACATCTGCTACTTAGGATGTCTCAACTGTGAGCCTTTACTGTCACTTTTGATGAAACGGAGTGCAATGCATCTTTGCTAATTCAAAATATTAAGATCTAAAAACAAAATGTACTTACCCAAACTTTTAAATAGCAGGGCATGTCATTTTTTGAAGTATATTATTGCAGCTAATATATAGTTTGGAAATTATATGTATTGGTTTATCTGTTAAAAGGTCATGAAACCCTCCTCTTTCGGTTCAAGTCTACCTAATTTAAAAAAAAAAAAAAGCTTTGTGATGGGCATGGTGCTCTGCGAGCAGAGGGAGGAGTGGGGGTGGCCAGCAAAGCAGGGGAAAAAGTAGAGGAGCGAACAACTCTCAGTTGGCTCACAAAATGAAACACAAACCGTGAGATGATGCATGATTTAATAGTTTATACAGTCAAAATGCAAGGAAATAAACAGTAATTTATTTCAATTCAATTCATCTTCATTTCTATAGAGCTTTTACAATGTAGATTGTGTAAAAGCAGCTGCACATAGAAGATTATAGATATAGGCCTATTTAATGCCCTGCTACATATGTTATTCGTAATTTCATATACACAAACCACAATTTATATTATATTGTTATGTCATTATAAAGATAATCGTGCTTATGTAAACACTATAAATGAGGACTTCTCTCCTCCTTAATCTCCGGGTGTAAATGCAGACACAATGGATAGCAGTGCAGCAGATCTCTTTCCCTGTCTAGTTCAACCATTGGCACTGCCGGTTATGTGGAGATTTTAAATGTAACGAACTCAACTTATAAAAAACAAAGTCCGCCATTCTCCAATTCTCATACTTAAAAAAAACTTGCAACAAACCCTGTGGATCATGGAAATAAACACATACGACCCGTGCCATGAGCAGACACGGTCTCACCCATTCACTGGGTCAAAGCTAGGCAGGTCTGCTTTGCTTTCGGAAAGCACATGCTCGCATGAATAAATAAGAAGCAGAGTCTTCTTAATTACTCTGCTATGAATAATAATGGGAAACCGACATGTCATCACTCCACAAGCAGATTCGCATTACTCTCCAAAAATTATTTTTAACCCGGAAGGTGAAATTAGCTGACAAAAGCTCAAAATTATTCTGTTTTCCCCACAATTAAAGCTGACAGATGCCAACATTGTCTTAACTCATGCTCAACAGATCTGTTAATAGTATAAAAAAGTACTCCAGGGTGTCCTGAACCTTTAAAAGTCATTTGAATAAAAAGACTTGAGCCTGTTTTTGATTTTTACCTGTGGAGGGTGCTGTTGTCAGGCTCTGTGACTGCAGATTTATGCACTTCCACACCTACTGACCTGTGAGCAGCCATAATTACACAAGTGACTGTGAAGCTGCAGTAGAGAGAGTTTAACAAAAGAACTGATCATGAAACTTTAAAAATGAAAAATTGACTCAAATATTAGTGTGGCAGTACCTTTGCGGAGGTGAAGATGATGTCATTCTTGTGCTGCCCGGTGAAGAGCACGACACATTTGTGGCAGCAAACTCACTAGAGCTTCCAGCCAGTGGATCAGTTTGTGGAAGCAGGTCCGGTCTGTCTGACGGCATGCCTGAGGACAACAATCACACATGCATGCATGCTTTAACTAATGCTCTATTCACACTTTATCTGAATCACAGCTGAAAATCATGCACAGAAATCTTTTAAACAATGCATCTCCAGAAACATACGCTAATGCTAACACACGTCCCATTAGGGCTGATGGATTTGACAAAAATCTCATATATCTGTCCTGATAACAATCTAGCACCATTTTTGTAAATTCAATCAAGTAATAGTTTACATATATTGATCACATATAAAGAACCATTTCCTTTTTACATTTTAAAGTATAAACTTGAAAAAAGTATTTGCACAAGTAAATCCCTCCATGGTGAATGAGAATTACTGTGATAATGGTACTAAATGCTGCTTTGTTTACACTTTAGCTTTAGCAGATTTATACTTCTGCGTCAAGTGACCCGCGCGTGGCTGTGCATTTATACTTCTGCGCGCTGTCTCTGTTGGTCTGCATTAACACTTCCGAAACGCTAGTTGACAGTAAGGTGTAAATGTTCCTCTGTGTCGAGTTTCTTCGCTGCTTTCTTGCTTTTCCTGAACACTTCCCGGATGTACAAGTGGCTCAAACTCGCTCATTTTGAGGCAGGAACCGGCGAACATGCAACAACTTTAACTATGAGGTAAACACAAAACAAAACTTTCCATCCGGAGCTCCTTCCCGGGACTCCACACTTGTAAACAATCGCTCGCGCCATTCGCAAGGCTCTCGGTCCCGCCCAGACTCGTCAGTGCTACCAAGCCGACCAATCACAGAGCTTGCGCTACGCGTCGTTGCGACGTGTAGTTACAATTTTTGAGAGGTGCACGTCAGCGACGGCCACGGCGAAGGGCTATTCGTCAGCGCCGTAGCATACGCCGGTGTTTGACGCAGAAGTATAAATCAGCCTTTTGTCTGTGCGCATATCTGGTTTCCCTTTGTGGAACGAGAAACAGATTACATCTGCTTTGTTTGCTCACATGCAGCTTTTTGGCCCAGACACTAGTCAACATAAATAACATTAAGTTATGTCATGAAATGCTTAGTTTTGATTGATATATTTGTCTCATATGATAAAAAGGATTGATTTATTGGCTTGGACGCCAATCATTTAGAGCATAGTGCAGTATCTGCTATATTAACCATTTCTTTAGAATGCTGATGATATATTGTAAAATATGTTGTTACAATGAAAAAAATTTGATTTCTGAAATGTTTGATTACATTCAACTTTGTCATTACAAATGTATAAGTACAAGGCAACGAAATGCAGTATGTTGTAAAATGCAGTACCATTTCACAAAATGAAAGTGAAATAGAACGTTGGTCCTATCACCCACCCTTAACACTGGAATTTGATTTTATATATATATATATATATATATATATATATATATATAAAGCACACTTGGAGATGTTGCCTTTATATTTTTGTTGCAGCTAAGGATTTTTTTCTACTGGTACAATCGGGTGAGCGGTTTAGACCTTTACTTCCCCTTTAAAAATTTTCACTGGCCCCATCAAAAAATTACAAAATTAAATAATTAAAAGTTAAGAAGTTATTAGCTATTTTTAGCCACATATTTTAAATAATGTGTCAAAATAATGTCTGTGAAACTAGAATTTTAATATTTAAAAAAATGGTTATAAATGTATAATGAGCAAAGTTCAGCGTGTTATGCAAACAAACAAGCAGTATGGAAAATGTGCAGGTATTTTATTGCAGTTTGAAATTATTTATTAAAAGGTGGTTGACTTGTCAAACTGACGGCAAATCGTGCAAAACGTCACTTTATTTTGTTGTTGTATTGTTCGCACGTAAATGTCTGCTTCCAAGACGTTAGAAAAAGACATTTTCTTTAAGCCTTATTATTTGATGTTGCCGTTTCTTCGATGTACCGGTTGTTACCGGGTAACAGAAAAAAATAGCATGCTCAAAACATTAAATCAGATAAGAGGAAACGAAAAGCATTATGAGAAGATAGCATTTAAAAATTTAAAAACTCAAACTTTAAATGCACGCAATTGACAAATAGTGGCAGACAAATTAAACTTTAGTGACAACAGCACTGTCCGAATCGGGCCAGTAATGATGGCCCATCAGGCAGTGCTTATTGTTGAGCCCTGTGTTGTCTTATACGATGTGAAAATGTGCAGAAATATTTCTTCCTTCGAACTGTTATACTCCCTGCTCCTTTTATTCTAATTGAATCATGTAAGAAGGATTTTATGTATGCAGCTCCATCTGGCTGGTGTATTTTTAAATGAAATGTCAGCAAAAAGAATCATTTTTAAACAGTTATTTATGTAACAGTTATTTACATATGTTTGTGTGTTCAAGATGTCTTTTAAACAGTTGTTCTGCCCATTTTATTCTGGTTAAATAAAACAGTATTAAATAAATTGCAGGACAGGGACCCTCCAGAAGCAGCTTTTGTTTGAAGAATGAAGACAATTAACAAGCTTAATAGTTTGGCTGTGCTACTCACCACTCTCTCCTTCTAAATCCGGCTGGTTTAGGTGAGTACGGTACACAAGTCTAGCATCAGCAAGTGTCTGACTACCGGGGGCAGAAGCAGTGCTTCCCATCGGAAGGCGTCTTACAACACTCGAGCAGCCACTTCGACTCTTCTTTGAGGGAGATGATTTTACTGAGAATAGAAAGAGGAGTTGAATGATGACATCAGAAATAGACTAAAAGCTCAATGGCAAAGATAAAGACAAGTTAGAAAATGGTTGTTTACTCAAAACCCACAACACTTCATTTTTAAAAAAAACATAAACAACATAGTGACACATGAAAGATGTTTATACCTTCACCGAAAAACCATTTTACTATAACTTTCAAACTTCACAAAAGGCATTGTATAAGTAATACCAGTAACTAACATAATCCAAGTAATCTGAAGCCATATGGTTTATATTATCATTAAACTATTGCTTCATGGTGCTTTAAAATTTATTTTTTAATGTGTGGTGATCAATGTTTGAATGTGAACAATAGACTTAATTTAATCTACTTGTTAAATAATGCAATCACGTCTCTTCAAAAGAACAAATCACTTTATTTTTTATTATCCTCACAATTTATCCTCACTTTTTTTTTTTACTCCATAAAGGTGGAGCGACAGAAATCTCATTTGCACTTCCCATTTGAAGTGTTTTAAATTGTGTAACTGATGACATTTTCTGATGACATTTTCATGCCCATTTTCTTTTTTATTTTTGAGTAAACTATCTCCACTTACGTGTTTTCTTAAAAACTGTGTTGCACATAAAACGCTGGAACCGTTCAGCATAGAATCCAGGCCGATGTACGGAGACTGTATCCTAAAAAGTCAATGTTCATAATGCATGGTGAGGAAAAATTGCCACAATGCTTGCTTTAAGGGCAGGTAAAGAAACTGATGACCTACCCCATCATGAACCAAGGCCTTCCAGGAATGCTCTAGTTTTTTGATAAATCTAAAGGAAGAAGTGAAGGAGAGATTTAAACGATGGTCACACACAACCTGTACATACAACTGTAGTGACAAGTCACCTGTACGACTGCAATATGTCGATGATCCCAATATAAACCAATATTCTCTCTCCTCTACTGTTGCGTGCTGGGATTCCCCCCCATCTATGGACAAAACAGTGTTTTCAACCAACTGAAATGTTGTTAAAATGACTACCATATACTGCAGGCAAACTAAATGAAATAAACTATACAAGGCATTGAAGGGTAAAAGAAATACAAGAGTTGAAAGTTTGTTAAAAGAGAAACCATGATGAGTAATAATAATTATAAAGAATAGAATAATAAAATGAAGACTAACTGGTCCTCTGTTTCCAGGGTTCCTTTCCCTTTGGCCTCTCCCTGTATGGACTCCATAGCAGTGCTGTACAGTGCTTTTTGAATCTGTGGTCTCCTGTGGTCAGGTGTCACGGTCCCCTCAGATCCACCACCCTCCACCACCCCTGCTCGCTCTCGAGATGCCAGATCTGTATTATGGACCCCCACCAATAGACTGTAGTCCATAATCTTAAAGCTCTGCAGCAGCTGTTAAATACAGAGATCGACCAATAAAGACAATATAGCAAACAATAAAATCTTATCCTGTGTTTTACAAACATCAACACCTACATATTTGCTCTGAAAGTGTTATTTATCGTGACACTAAAATAAGTATTCTTTCAAACCAAACTCTTGTGGAAAAATGTATTTAACATATTTAATGAAATAAATTTCAGTATAAAATGCAGTTTTCACTGATATGCATCAATATAATAGATTATAATAACACATTTTACCTTTTATATATTAACAAAAACTTTAATACATGAAAGATTAATATACGATAAGGCAAGATATTCCTAAAATAAAGGTCAATTGAAAATTTATAATTGATGTTATTAGCAAACCTACAGTTCAAAATTTAAGGTTAAGTAAACAGTTTTATTTGAAAGATTTTCTTTTTTTTGTGATCTCTTTATCAAATAATCAAACATACATATATAATCACAAAAGATGATATCAACGGACTATTCTATTAACTGAGATTTCCATTAATAACCATACCCACCCAGCCCAGACGAAAATAAAAAGGCAAAGAAAACAGAGTTAAAAACAACAAAAAATATTATCTATGAACAATAAATATAGATTAGTGGTGGGCCGTTATCGTGCTGCGTTAACGCGAGACTCTTATTGCGCGATAAAAAAATAAATATCACCGTTAATCTATTTTTAAAGTTGGGTTGGGAGCTGGGTCTATTCTATGCAAGCTACAGTAACTTTCACCTTAATATTTTAGCACGAATGTATACCTGACCGGTGAGCCGTCTGACAAAAAAGTGCCCTTCTGAATCAAATCAGCAGGATGCCTGACTTTAACTGCAGTTCGGCAGTTTCACTTTAACTCGTGAAAATTTCATTCATGCACCCGTGACAAACTGGGCTATTAGACACAAATAAGGAGTAAGGACTGGTGAGAGTGTTAAGGAATTCAATAACACATGCCAAAAGAAAAGCAAAAAAAGTCTGCATTTCGCGATGTGTGTGCGTGTTTGTGTGAGGTCCTTTACTGACTGCCGCGTGTGTGGATCTTGTCGGAAAATATGGTGAAAAGTCCTACATGAAGGTAATAGTTTAATTGCGGTGTTTACTTCAATAATGCCACTAATATATGCATACTCCACATGTCTTAATTCCATTTCTGTTTAGTTCAATTATGACTTTAGTCGGATTAAGGTAATAAAAACAATTCAAATAAATTCATTGTTTCGAGCTTATATATGCCTACAGAAAAATTCATGTTTAACTGAATAAACAGTTAGTAAACACAAGAACATCTTATTGAACAATTTATTTCCATCCCCAATTATCATAGCACAACAGTTTCTCAAGCAGTTTGTGATGCATTTTGGAAAAAGGAGATGAGCCCCTAGTCTAATGCGCCACCTGGCTTGAGAAATCCATTCCTAAAGACTTATTATTTGGGTAGCACACATATTCTGAATGCCTTTGGCAGAATTCAAATTAGCCATTTTAATCTAGATTAATTCCAGGATTAATCTAGATTTAAAAAATGAATCTATGCCAACCTATAATATGTATATATAGTCATCTGTATGTATCTTATTACAAGAAAACTTTAACAAAGGTAAATTAAACAGTGGGCTGCATGGTGGGCTCAGTGGTTAGCACTGTCACCTCACAGCAAGAAGGTCGCTGGTTCATGTCGCTGGTTCATGGGCCAGTTGGCATATCTGTGTGGAGTTTGCATGTTCTTCCCGTGTTTGTTTGGGTTTCCTCCAGGTCATCTGGTTTCCCTCACAGTCCAAAGAAATGCGGTACAGGTAAATTGAATAAACTAAACTGGCGGGAGTGTATGTGTGTGTGTAAATGAATGTGTATGGGTGATTTCCAGTACTGGGTTGTGGCTGGGGGGGGCATTTGCTGCGTAAAACATATGCTGGAATAGTTGGTGGTTCATTCCACTGTGGCGTCCCCTGATAAATAAGGGACTAAGCTAAAGGAAAATTAATGAACGAATGAAAAGGAACGGTTTTCACATAAAAGTAAAGAAAAAAAAACAAATAATTCCCACAAGATATGAAATCTTAATTCTTAACTTCTATTCTGCAAAGACACATTAGACTGCTATTGTATTACTATTATTTTTAAAACTGCTATTATTTTGATGTATTAATCAAAGAATATTGAAAAATGCATCACATGAGCACCAATCAGATCAATAGAATAATTCTGGGAAGATTTCTGTGACAATAAAGACTAGAGTAATGACTGTTTTGTTGTTTTAAATACAGACTTTAGTGAATAGAATGAACAACAAAAAGTTCTTACCAACCATCAAAGTTTGAATAATGCTATATATTGTGCACAGCACTAATCAAAATCATCACCATATTTATAATTCTAAAACTAGCATGCGATATCACACACCCCCAGACATGCATGCTCACCAGGCAGTCCCGCTGGATAGTTTTGCAGAGTGCATTGTAGTTGTCTGGCTCCAGCTGGATGCCCTCTGGCATGTCCTGAATGAAATCCAAGTCTTTGTAAGTGGGCACACTCTTGTCTCTCTCTTTAGGAGAGGCACGCCGCTTGTATGTTGAGCCCTTCAGGTCATATTTGAGGTGCATAGGCACACTGCGAGGCAACAGATTATTCATAACAACGATACGGATGTTCTTTCCACCCGCCTGAACGCAATACAAGCCATAAAACTTTGGGAGCAGCGTTCTTTTGTTCTGATTCAGGTTCTAAGAGAGGAAAGAGTAAAGAATATCATAAACAAAAGCTGTCATTTTGGATTAAAACATGCATTACTGTTCTGTTCTTAATATTTAGTTCTTTTTTCATACAGAACTATCAAAGGAGAGTTTGTTGTCGTCCACATTTTCAAAAATTCTAAAATACACAAGTGCTTATTGCTCACCATGAAGTACCCAGGCAGTAGTTTCTGCAGGAACTCTGCCTCTTTGTGCATGACTGTTTTAATAATAAACTCATCATCGCTGGTCACGTAAAAGATGGATCCGCTTGCTCCAGGATTGGACAGTTCGATCAAGGGATCGTTACACAGCGAGTACTGCAGAAAGCAAGAAGACACAAAACAAACACATCAGGAGTGTCTCTAAAGCAGGCGTCCGCAAACCTTTTCATATTAAGGGCTAAAAAACCAAATATCATTGAGAGCCGTGGGCCAAAGGTAAATATACCAAACTAAACTACATTAAAGTTGACATGGGTAATTTCCTAATTTACTTCATAACAATATTATAATATAAAGAAAAGCATAACTTTAAATCGTATTTACTAATGAAGTATTAACTTTTATTGTAATAAAAACAATTACATGTATAACACAGTGGATTTAAATGCTGAATACACTAGTTAAGCAGAATCTGCCTTTGCCTTTATTTGCTCACCAAACCCTCTGCATTGCCAGGTGACAGTATGTACATTTAAACTAAATCTGATTCATTTACACCATTTAATTGAAACATTACTTTTCAGTTAGTCTTGAAACCTTCCCCATCATTCTCCCTCTTTTCTCAGATGGGATGACGGGAAAAATCAAAGGGCCAACTTTGGCCTGCAGGCCCTAGTTTGGGCATCTCTGCTCTAAAGACAATGAACTCGTATAGCATGACTGTTAGATGGAACAATATATATATTTTTATATTTAATTAAAACAGTATTTATGTGAAATATTACTATATTTACAATAACTGTTTTTTGCCACATTTGATCTCTAAAAATATACGAGTTTTAATTTAACAAACAAACAAACAAAAAACAATTGTAGTGCACCTATGTAGTAAAATATAATCTAGGATCCATTTAACATTATTTTATTGCTTCATCAGTGAGTATTATGAAAACATACTAAAACTATATAACTAGTTTTATTAAATACCTAATAATATGCAGGGCTCGAAATTGCGACCATTTTGGCCATGACGTGGTGAATATTGATCCGCCAGCTGAGATCAATCGAGTACGTGCCCGAATCTCGATGCGCTGCATTCACTGCATGTTCAGCGCAAATGTCCGCTAAAAGTCAAATCTAATACTGTACATATCATCGCCAAAGAAGCTCGTCTTTACTAAGTTTACACTGAAACTGCGGCTCATAACAAACAGCGGTATTGCGCCGGTGCTCAACCTGCTCATAAATTGGGTCGGCTGACTCGCCTGCTTTTCCACAAACACAGAAAAATGAAAATCAGCTCAGACTGAACATTTAAATTGACACAAACTGAAACCAAAACTTTTAAAGAGTGATAGAAGTGAGACTTTACTTACTTTCTTTTGTCTATTCTTTCTTGAGGTGTATATATATATTTCTATTTAGTTACTGATGACTGTTTTGCAGCTTTCAGCCTTGAATTTAATTATTTATTATAATCTTTCGTTTGTTTTGTAGCAGAAATATTATTTATTAAACTGACATGCATATATATGCTGTTTAGCAGTACAAAATAAATATTTCTTACTGCAATGCTTCATTTTTGTTTGATGCAAACTATACCTTTATTTTCCATAAAGTAACAGACTTTTTATAGCAGATAACTTACATTCAAGCACGTTCAAGGCAGCATGATGATGACAAATGTAATTCATTGTTACTATTATTGTCATTTTCATCATCATTAATATTCTATAATTATTAGACATACACATTTTGGAATTATTGCACACAAATATCAATGTCATCTCAGCATTAGTTAGATAGTTCTTTCTGGTTTTTGTTAGTCCTAATTGATGTTGTTTTAAAATACAATAAGTCCCTTAAAATACAATTTGCAGCGGTGCTCATTCATTTTTGGTGGGTGCTCCTAAATTTTTGAAGTTGGGAGCACCTGTGCTACCAAGTAAAAAAGTTAATTTCGAGCCCTGATATGTAATATTGATTATCAAAGATCTGCATTTATATACGAATATTATTAATACCATCATATAAAAATGTACTATTAAGGTAATAATATTCATAAATACAATATAAATAATATTTATTATTATGTTAATCCTTACTTTAAATGGGTCGGGTCAATAGTAATTTCTTACTCTGTTTACTCACAAACCTTTATTTTATAAACTAACTTTTAAAAAAATCTCAAGATGTGTTTTTTGTGTATCTGTGTGCGTGTTATATCTAACCAGATAGTCGTCAGGCCGAATGCCAAAGAGTTCTCGGAAGTAACGGAAGGCAATGGGGGCGTAGGTCTTAAACCTGAAGTCACCATGGTGATGTGCTGGAGTCAAATTACTTCCTTCACTGTAGGACGAAAACAGGGAGGTCAATACAGACACAGAGTTATGGCTTTCTAAATTATATACAGTTGAAGTCAAAATGATTATCCCTCATGTTAATTTTTATTTCCTTTTCAAATATTGCCAAAAAGATGTTTAACAGAGCCAGGACATTTTCACAGTACTTCCTAAAATAGTTTGTTTTCTGAGGGAAATGTATTTGTTTTATTATGGCTAGAGTAAAAGCAGTTTAAAAACTATTTTAAGGTCATTATTATCAGCCCCCTTAAGCAATATATTTTTTTGATTGTCTAGAGAACAAATAACTGTTATAAAATGACTTGCCTAATTACCCTAAGTTTACCGATTAACCTAGTTTAGCCTTTAAATTGCACTTTAAGTTGAATACTAGTATCTTGAAAAACATCTAGTAAAATATTAAATACTGTCATCAGGACAAAGACAAAAGAAATCAGTTATTAAAACTATTGTTTAGAAGTGTGTTGAAAAAAATAGTCTCTCCATTACACAAAAATTGGGGAAAAGGAGGGCTAATAATTCTGACATCAACTATAAAAAATCTGACAAGATGCCCACTATTGCAAGGTGTGAACACAGAATGACTATTAGTTGCTATCACACTTGATTTATAAAGACAAATTTTCCTTAAAAGTCAATACAACCATTTTATTTCATTTAAATAGCTACAAATATATCTATATTTCAGATATATTTATATATATATATATATATATATATATATATATATATATATATCAATGTAGAGAAGTTCAACACACATTTCTTGTCCTGCACATACCTGGGGAAGAAGATGCTCTCTACAACGTAGAAGTCCTGCATGAGGACATCTCTCTCTGCTTTTTGACTGAGGCTGCCCACTGTATGTGCAATACCCAGCTGGATGGCACCTTTCAGAGCAGAGGAGGTTGTCTGCAGACAGAGAAAGAATGCGTGAGATAGAAATGCAAGCAAACCACAATGATTATTTGAAATAACCTTTAAATTAACAGTAATGTAGGTGGAGTGGGAACAAAAACAACAACAACTATAATTTCCAGTAAAACAAATGCTATTTTTAGCAGTGTGAGATTATATGTATGTTTTATGAGATGCAGTTGTTTTTGGTAAAAAAAAAAACGTATTTTCACGTTGTTTTTCCACGGTTCAGTGCACCCTGTGATCCACGGTTCAGAATATGCATCATTAATATATAATACTATAATATAATTTTAATATTGGTTTGTTAATAAAAAACAATTGCAACAAAGCATTTCTGCTTTTGTACGCTTCCGATTACCTTTCCCATCCATGAGAAGACCTGTCGAATCACCTATTAGTATGTAAATCTGTGTCGATGCGTGTGTGGAATATTTATGTGTTTCAGCATGGCAAGTGAAGGAAATAAAGCACAAATGTCCAAGTGATGCCAAATCACAGTGCATTGCTGTCAGTGTTTCAACAGACACTCAATATAAATTCAGACAGACACAAAAACGTTTTTTTTTTTTTTTTTTTGCAAAGGTAGCCTAGAACAGTGGTCACACTGGCGTATCAAAGAGGATCGAGGTCCGTGTCCAGACCCAGAAGTGTCCCATACGGACGCGGACATACAACAGGTCTGTTTCAGTCCAGCTCCTTGTGGGTGTACTTCCGCACCCAATTACTCCCGCTACATTCACTCTGTTTACCCGCCGTCTGCTAAGAGCAGTTTTCTTCTCGACTGACTGTTACTGCTGAATTAAGAGAGAAGAGCCAAACTCTTAGCTTAAGTTTCATTCACTACAATGGTGCTACGTGAAACAGAGCTGTCTGGAATCATAAAATCATATAGAAATCATAAATAAAAATGCGTTGTTGATTTGGTAATGCAAGCACAAAGGAAACAGAAGTAATCAACACTTTAAAAGTGCTCATTATTAAGATTATTATTTATTAAGATTATTAAGATTATCAATTGTTAAGATGCGTTGACAATTATTATCTGCATAATTGGTTAAGACTGTAAAGTCAAGATGTGAAATAGAAAAAGGGAAATTTAAGCTTATTTTCTTAAGCAATTTATTTGAACATAACATTTTTAAAATCCCCTACTTTTCTTTAATTAATGCGAGAACATGCAAATCTACAGTCATATGTGTGAAGCTTTTGCACTGTCAGGTATTTGTTACCCAATAAATACGTTTATTGTTCTTTGAATTGTTCTGTAGGCTTTTTCTAAGCATAGCACAACCGTATCAAAACAGTGACCCTAACAATGATACACACCGAACTGTGAGTAGATTGAACCATTGCACCCCTAATATGTATACGGTATATACATATACGCTCTCTCTCTCTCTCTCTCTCTCTCTCTCTCTCTATATATATATATATATATATATATATATATATATATATATATATATATATATATACATATATACACATACATATATATATATATACATACATATATATATATATATATATATATATATATATATATATATATACATACATACATATATATACACATACATACATATATACATATATATACATACATACATATATATACATATATATATATATATATATATATATATACATACATATATATATATATATATATATATACATACATATATATATATACATACATATATATACATATACATATATATATATATTTTTTTTTTTTAATTTATCTATACAGTATATGTATATATATATATATATATATATATATATATATATATATATATATATATATATATATATATATATATATATATATATATATATATATACAACAATTGTTTTTCCAAGAAATCCCATTCAAAGCCAGAACTTTTTAATATGCTTTTACTTACATTTCAACAAAAACTTTAAGTCAGAATTTAGCAGGGGTATGAATAATTTCAAGCTTGACTATACATAAACCACACAACCTAATAAAATAATTTTTACATTCCAAAAAAAAAAAGGTGCAAATCAATTTTTAATGATCCATATTGACTCATTTTTACACATTCGAATACATGATGTCTGATGATAATAATAACATTGTCCTTCAAGTCAAAATAAATCAAGCCAAGTTTTCTACACAATTTAACTAAAAACAATGATCAACGAAACTAATAAACACTGGCCAGGAAATTGTAATAGCACTTTTATTCAACTGCCTTTTTTAGCACAGTTTCTCTGTTGCCCCTGCGTTACTATCAGATGACACATTTGACTGCAGGCTGACCTTTTTGTATGTCGTTTCTCCAGTAGGATCAACTCCTCTGTGACCGATGGTTTTCTTCATACTTTGAGATGATCCCGGCCCCTATTTAGAGTGACAGATGTAAAAATGTGACAGAAAAAAGGGGTTTTGTGTCAAGAGACACGATTCAGGAGGCTTCTGTTTGTCAGGTGTTTCCTAAAGTCAAACACGATCACAAACACTCCTGTTCATCATCGCATTACTTTAATACAACTGAATCTTTCAATTACTGACGAGAGCGGTGTGTGTGTGTGTGTGTGTGTGTGTGTGTGTGTGTGTGTGTACAGGTTATGTTGTTTACAGGGATACAAAGTTATATAATGACTTGATAATGATTTTATAATGGGTATGACTTAGTTGTACTCTATTAAGGTGATTTAATTCAAAACGCTTAAAAATTTACTCAACAAGATCTTTTGACATTACAATTTTGCCACAGGTTTAATGTGAGTGTTGAGTTTATTGTTAGGACCATATATATATAAGTGTTTTTAACAGTATAAAACACATTACATCTCTGGAGTGTCCCTGTAAGCCATGTATGTATGTGTGTGTGTGTGTGTGTGTGTGTGTGTGTGTGTGTGTGTGTGTGTGTGTGTGTGTGTAACTCTGTCAATATTGGACTTGTTCAAGATCTTTCTCACATGACTGTTTATTCAACACAAACCAACAGTAAGTAAACCTTACTTTAGCCTACAGGAATGCATTCACATTCCTTTACAAATGTCCAGTAGAAAAGAAAAAAGTAGCTTAGTTTTGGATGAAACTGTGGATACTATTCTAAGACCAAACACACTGGGCTGACAAATGAGAATCTGAAATGAAAAAAAACAAGGGAAGGTGAAAACACAGCTGGAACACACTGTTCAGACAGCTCATTGGAATGGAACTACCTGTTTAATAATGATAAAAGATTAACTATCATAACCAAAGTATGCACTGAGAAACTTGTTAGATAGTGCCATTTGCGAACCTATGCCTGACTGTTTATGAATTGTGTTTTCCCTCAGTAAGATCATTCAAACACAAATATAAAGGGATAGTTCACCCAAAAATGAAGATTTACTCCCCCTTAAGAGGTTTTATACCTCTTAAAATAAGATATTTTGATGAGACATTTATAATGTTAGAAACCAATAACCATTGGAATTTAATGCTTACAGGTTTCCATATTCAAAATAACTTTTTTGTTTTCAACGGAAGAATAAAACTCAAAGTGATTGGCTGAGTAAATGATGACAGACTTTTATTTTTTGTGGTGAACTATTCATTTAAATGTTGGTGATTCTGTAAGGAATGCATATTCTCATTGAACTGGAACATCTTTTGTCCTTTGCAATATTTAAGTGCCAAAAGGATAAAACTGCCCAGTCATCTTCTTTAAAACTTACAGAGCAATTAAAAATTATTTCCCTGAGTCTTACCTCTGTAATAGTCATCTTTCGAACTCCGCTGGACCCTTAAAAGATGGAAGCAGAAAGAAAAAGCATGTAAAAAAACATGTTAGAAAATGAACTTCATAACACTTCTTGCTATTTTCTCAGAACCATCCTGATTTACTAATAATTATAAGACCAATAAGTAGACTTGTAAACTACTATTCAAAAGGTTTCAATCAGAGCTGCACGATTCTGGCTAAAATGAGAATCGCGTTTTTTTTGCCTACAATAAAGATCATGATTTTCTCACGATTCTGTAGATGTAAAATAAAGGTTAATACGAGTGGGCTTTTATTATTGTTATTCTCAAACATATGGTAAAACAACAATAGGCTTTGTGTAGCTGTACTGTTGGTTAAAATGCTAAATTTTGTACAGACTTGGAATGGTGGACTTGAACAGACTTTAGATTTGTCCTGGTCATTAATGCTGATAATAATTCTGATGTTGAATTATTGTGTTTGATACATATGCTTACAATCTGTCATTTTCTGCTTAAAATCTGTCACTGACGTGATTTTCGTGAATACAGAAGAGTGGGTGGGTATTTTTGCATTTTGGCGGGATTTGGATACTTTTTGAGCTGGAATCATTCAGCTACATCTGGCAACACTGTGTGCGCTTTCGGTTTTATTTTCACTGCTAAGAGTGGTTCACTTCCCGCGCGGCTCCCAAACGATCACTCTCTGCCACAAACTAAATGTTACTTACAACTTTATTACCTGTTATTCACAGCATATGCAGGTTCTGTTCACTAAAGTAAACTTCATTCAGAGGCACAGGCGCCCGCCCTCCCTGTGGTAACAGCTGACGGTCAGTTTACATCACGTGATTTTTCGGTCGCAAATACATTACATGAAAACAGAAAAGACATTTTTGAGGTGAACTATACCTTTTAAATACAGCATGCGACTCTTTCAACACCATTTGGAGGTGTCCATGTGGCTGAACAATGTATGTAAAACAATGAGAAGACTTGTGCGGCCACTAATGCTTCTCTCCTGAACTTGAAAATATGATTGACAGAATCGTAGAAATGCTGGATTAAGATCGTCTAGGGGGTCGAATCGAGATCGCGATCTTTTTACAATGAATTGTGCAGCTCTAGTTAAAATCTGTTTTCTTGAAACAGATTTTTGAATCTGAAAATCTAATGTTAAATTGCTTTATTGGATAAATAACCTAAGGTCTATGACATTAGACATATGCTAAACAAACTATAAACCAAATCTCTCAGTATGTATTTTGCTAAAACTGTATTAACTGATAACCTCAAACTCGAATTCAAAATCTGTTCATGTTTTATTCTTACAAAAGTGCCCAAGATGGTTTAAAATACACAAAGAAAACCATGTATTGCATTTTTTATTGTTATGTTTGATTTGTTTGTACTCTGCTACAGCCAGTAATGCCTGCTTTTGTTGAAGCTTTGAAACCTTTAGAAATTTTTTGTTTTGAATCATTGGTTCAGACAGTGTGTGTGTAACAATTCGATCGTGTGTTTCAAACAAGCAAAGTAAGGCTTTGTTCATTTTAAAAATTCAATGCTGGTTCGCTAATATCGCCCCCACAGGCTAATCACTGAAGATTCAAGCTGCGTCCCAAATGGCACACTATACACTATGCACTCATGCACTATGTACTTACACACTCAACAGGATAGTATATGTATGTAGTGTCGTCCCAAATGGCACTCTAATGTTTTTTTTACTAAGCGGAAATTCAAACCGTTTCCCTGATGACGTTTGACGGTTGCCAAATCATTGAAGTAAACGGCCGAATTATCAAATAATACCTGCCGTGAGTGTTGCCGCAATCACTATCGGGAGGCGCTATAATCACTCTCGTAAAAGAATTTTGCTTTCACCATCCAAATTAATTAAAGTTATTCAACATGTGCGTCCGAAATAGCTCCGCCCCTTCCGCTACGTAAGCAAACCTGCGGTCGTTGAGTGCGTGAAGTGTCCATCATAACACACTTCATTTTAGTGGCTGAATGAGTGCATCATCCGGGTAATTAAAGTGCACTTATTATTTTTAGAGTTTTCAGTGTGAACACACTACTTACACTATTTATACTACAAAATGGCGTAGAATAGTGCATAAGTATGCGATTTGGGATGCAGCTTCAGTGTTTAGTTTTTTAGTACACCACATTAGGTGTTACTAAAAAACAACAACTAAACACTCAACCTTCAGAAAAGCTAAAGCTTCAAAACAGAATAACGTTGAGACGCAATAAAATAAATTGATTAAAGTGTTGAAAAGCTTAATTTTCTCCAAACACTTGCCACTTTGATAGCTGGATGTCTTAGCATGTGTGCAGTGTATGTGCAAGGGTAGCCTCTAGCTTCTAGTATGAATGGAACAATACATGTATAGTTTTGTTTATCAAAGCAAATAAAACATAAGAAAGATGATGCTCACCAATAAATATACAGACGGGCTCTATTTATAATATCATGATTACTAAATTCCTTTCTGGAATTCTGGATTCTAATTGGACAATAACAACAATGCAAGGTATCATATTCCCAGAAAAACTGGTAAAACAAATAAAACAGGCTCATCTAGATAATCATCTTAACCATTAGTGAAAATATTATTAACAATAATGTAGTGTAGGGTGCAGGCAGACAACTTTTTAGTTCCGCAAGCTTCGCGTTTAATTAAAAAGCGAGTAAACTATGCTACTACAGCAAGTTCAATGTTTTGTGCCTACCAGTTTAGTTTTGTGGCAATTAGTGGTGTTATAAGCAGGATACTGTGCATCCATTGATCAGTTTTAAACAACAGTCTGGCTTTATTCTGCTAGAACAACCGGCTGGATGCACCATCCCTCATCTAGTTATCACAAAAAATGCCAGAAAATTTTGTGACAATAGTTTTAAATCCATTTCGCCCATTCCAACCCGATGTGCCCGACAATTAGCAGACTGTCACTCTCAGTAGATCAGTGTTTCTCAACCACGTTCCTGAATGATCACCAGCTCTGCACAAGTGCACATTTTCCATGTCTCCTTAGCCAAACCCACCTGATTCAGATCATCAGCTCTTTGGCAGAGACTGAGAGACCTGTAAAGGGTGTGACAGACAAAAGAGACATCCAAAACATGTAGTCTTGGCAGTCCTCCAGGAACGTGGTTGAGAAACACTCCAGTAGATGATTCACCCAAAAAACAACATTGATCAAAACCAACTGAAACAACAGGAGCTTCAAATGTCTGTATTTATAGTAACAATGTAGGGTATAAACATTGATTTTGTTTTTTGTTTTGTTTTCTGCACATTATTATGAGAATAATGTAGTCACAATACTGGAAATTCCAACTTCAATGCGATACCTAAAATGTATCAATCATCAATACAACTTTCAATAGAGTGGAGGAACTATGACGTAAATTTTTGTATGCAAAAACCCAGAAGCGAGTTAGCATTTTAGCAGTTCTGATTCCCTCGTCCCAAAGTCAGTGGGTTTTTTCAATGGGATTTCAGTTAAATCGCTCAAATAAGGTTCATGGCTAAAAAAAAAAAAAAAAACGTAAAAAAAAAAAGATACTTTCACGTTTTATTCTACGACATAAAACACATCAGCTACATCACACTCTTTATTTTTAAAATTGGTTATGCGATTATAAATCATTGAGCTGAGCTGGTCTGGAGTGCAACTCACTTGTGTTGGGCATCTGTGTTTGTTTGTTATTTAAGTATTTTTATCAATAGTATCTTATAGTTTGTTGTATTTTTCTTATTGTGAATTCATATTGTGTGTAGAATTCCTTCACTTGTAAAGACTGTCAAGACAGATTCATTTGTTGATCCTTTATTTTAATTAAATAATATTATGAAGATACTGCTTACCAGTGCAGCCCATCTCTTTCCTGGTCTCAGTAATACAAATATGTGAATAAATGTGTAAAAATACAGACATATTAACTGTCATTTTATCGTGATTAAGTGATTTTACACATTGTGTTGTGTTCACATTTACACTGAACACATTTAACTCCATCATAACTGTAATATTTACACCCATCTATAAAATGTATAGCATATGTGACTGTATGGCCTGCTATTACTTCGTGACATAAAAAAGAATATTAAATGTTGTTCTCAATCCATCATGACATTTGCAGGCATTTAAAAGACTTGTCCCTCACGCCTCATTTCTGTCGTCTGTTACTAAGCTAAGCGGGCTGTGTGCACGCAAGCGATACACTTATTTAAATATGTCTTATGATAATACTATGTAGGCACATTTATGCATACAGTTTTAAAACTTTTACAACAATCGTAAAGCAAAACAGACGTATTTCCCACGTAAAAAGATCCAAAAGCCAGGTAGGTCTATGTGTTTTTGCCTATTTATTTATAATATATAGCGTGGATTATAATATAATAAGAATAAACAGAGAGAATAAAACTCTGTCATGGATCATATTTCTAAATATAAGCTAGAAAAGTTGTCTGTGGAAGGGTGGTGCTGACGTCACACGCGAGCGCCCTGAAGGCACTGTAGTCTGTTTATAGCCTAACTTTAGCTTTTCAATTCTTGCGTTTGCATTTAAGATCCAAAAGTGCTCAAAGTTGTATTTCGTGTGAGAATTATCCGGCTGGACAAAACATATAAGTGTAATGAACAGTGTTTAAACATGGAGCTTATTATTTGCAATCTTCGAAAAGCCTATGGGAAAATCCTATAGGGATTTTATTGAGGGAACCAGTTTTATGCTAGCAGCTGATTAGCCTACAAGTTGACATCATAGTTCCTTCACTCTATATATAGGAACAAATTCCAAGACATTAAGATATACAAATCAAGAGAAAAAAATCCATACAATGTTTTGCATTTAAGGAAAATTTTATTTTACACAACCTTAAGTCCAAAACAAAGTCAATAAATTAGACGTGAAAACTAAATTGCAATCTTATTTTCTGATTTGAAAAAAAGTTTCATCCTAATATAATTTTTCATTAATATTGCTTAAAGGACCAGAGCCAACAAGGGCATTATTATTACACAAAATTATAAATACTTTAGCAGATCAATTGTATATAATTTGTTAGTGCACTGTAAAAATATCCATAAATTAGATGTTTTCCATTCATGTTTTTGTTTTTCCCCATTTATTCATGCATTTCAATAGCCTAAATATTTTCCTTGAAGTTTGACTTTAATTAAAATTGTGATTATTTTTATTAACAAGTGAAGTGATATATTGTCTGGGTCGGTGTTGTAGATTATGGTAAAAGAACCTTGTAATGAAATGAAAGCACATTTTTTGTTTCTGTTAACAGACTTATTTCTTTATATATTATTTTATGTACATTATTCCAAACTACTAAAGTGTCAATAGAAGTCGACAAAGCATAGATCCCATAATGCAATTCATAACCGTAAATAAATAGAAAACACTTGTGAATCAAAAACATGGAAACTGTTAATTAACATTTTTCCACAGTGTGCTATGGATAATACATTACCATTTATATGATAAACATTTTTTTTCTGCATTCATTTACCATATAACCAGCCATGAAATAGAAACTGTGTCAACGTCGCAGTGTTGTTTTTTATTTAAGACAGGCTAAAAGTAAATAGCCCAATGGTTATTCGACTCCCTGCTGTTAAGAAGAGTGAGAGAGATCAAAGCCAGTATCGATACCAAGCAGAAGCAAGATTGTATCGTTCAAATTTTCTGTATTAATATTTTTGACAGCACTAATGCAGAATCATCACACTGTCACCCCTCTCTATCACCTCCAGGGCTTCTGTTTATATTTTAGTCTTACTGTATATTAAAATATTGTTTGTTCATGTTTGAATGTTCAAGCACAGAATTCATGTTTAATGATTTCTGCTGACACAACCTACAACAACCAAGAATTCTTCCTGCTGCGTTGAATGTAATGCATTTTTATTTATTGCCATGTCAGCAACCAAGAACATGACAAGAACATTCTATTCGATATTAAATAAACAATTAAAAACAACTTGTGCTGCGTTGAACTTCAAAAGTAAGACTGTTGTTACATCCAAACCTATGTACTATGCCCAGTTCAAAGGCAGTGTTTCCTCTAGGATTTTTTTCCAGCTGTGGCGGCAGGTCTTTTACACAAATCTACCAAATACCTATGGCATTATTTCAATGACAAATGGAGAAATGTGGTGAGCACAGTATTACACATCGGGATCGCATTTATGTAACGTTAATACGAGATTGCCAATCACTGCTTGCGTGCTGATTTCCTCTGCTCATGTACAAAACTTCTTGCACGCCCTCAAACACGCAGCTCAAGCGCAGATCTTCTTGTGCGCTATCAAATAAACACCGCTGAAAAGAAATTTGGTGCGTTTATGTAGTGAGTATGTCTCCAACATTTATTAGATTTGCTAGGAATATTTATGAATCTTTCCAATGTCTCCAACCTGCAGATCGGTATTAATGCGTCCTGCAGTAAAGTGAAACAGCAGTAAACTCCAGCAAGACAACGTTTAAGTCTTTGTATGCAAAATTGCAGACCTTTATCTATAAATAAAGTATAATTATGGAAACTGTGTTTATCTCAACTGAAAGCTACGTCATGTGCTGGCCTCACGCATCGCACACCTGTTAATAAGTCCATCAGTCACGTACGCCCTACTACGATAGGAGAAAAGTTTGCGCTGTTATAATTCACTTACCTTTGAATGCGTTTTGGTTCGATTATAACCCGCTATTAAAACAACAACAACAATGAATAAATGTTTTGAATTGATAGGAAACTGTATGAATTTTGGTGTGGCGCCCCGCCATGGAAGAATGAATGTAGCGGAAACCATGAAAGGTTGATGAAAGATGGTCAACTATTTCCATTTGAATTCAAAGTATAGAATCTTCTGTATTCTAACCACTAATATTGCATGTTGGATATCAATTTAATCAGAACTACAAACGTGGACAAAAAGTGTTAAAACTACAAACATGGCAGATGTGTGAGACCAACCATCAAGAAGACAAATGTTTTGCATGTAAAAGTACAATTGTGTTCAGTAAGACTTCCTATTACTTAATTGTCCTATACGGATTAATCTATCATCTAATTTATTGACTAATTAATTATTAGACTAAAACATTAATTTTATTTAAAAAATTACTATTTTTATATTAATTACTCAGTGGTGCTGGACTGCTAACAAATCAAAGAATAAGCCGAAGTAAAGGGAGTGAGCCATGTTATTGGCCACTAAAAAAATAAAAAAAACTATTACTACTAATCTGTCAGGTTTATAAATATTAATTACATTGTCTGCTAAGTATACCTACATGTGTCAACCTGCAACATGAAATTAGTTAATAAAATAGAATACAAAAAGTTTCTATGCAACATTTCACAAAATTCTCTCTCACATCAGTTAATTAAATAAATAGTGACATTCTAAACTACCTCAGCTCGGTTTTAAGTCTCAATTTAAGCTTTTTCCATATTGCACACTTGTGGATATTACCTTACACCTGTATCATTATCAACAGGTTGCAACATTTTTGAACATGCAAAGAAATAAAAATTAAACTATATTTTAGAGCCAAGAACAAATTACGGCAGCCCAAAGTGCTGTGAGTACATCATGAGATCTCTCTCTGACACTGATGACGCATATTTGCTTTCCTGATGAGTAAATGCCTGAAGAATGGATGGAAGGTAATTTATCCATTCTCAGATTACCTCTCAGACAACTGCTGAAAATCCTTGTAGTAACCAATAGCAACAGCTATTTTAAGTTGGAGTTAGTGAGGCCAGATAAAGATTTCAATGCTGAACTGATCAAAATGGGAAAACAGTATTAGAAAACAATTTGAACAATGGAATTTGAGAAAAAGCAGCATTTAACTGCTTATGCTGACATCTCACAATGATGCACACATGAATGCCCAAACACTAACATCTACAATATGTATAGCGGCACAATATCCAGGAACTGTGCTATATATTTACATGTTCCAGCAGACGCTTTAATCATCAGTCTGCGATACCAATGCCTATTCCTGTCGGCTTTAATTTCATAAACAGATGACTCACAGATACTATTTTTTTTCACTTTCATTACAGTCCATCTGTCCCCAAGTAATCAAGCTTAAACCGCCACTGCAAACAAGACCATGCAAGGAAGAAGACTTCGGTTAAGTGGCATTCAGAAAGTGTAAATGTCCCGTTATACTTCAAACCAAATTTAAGAACAAACTAAAATGAAATCATTTCGAACAAAAACCCTGGCTGAAACTAATTTCTTTTCGAGTTTGTTTGAAGTTCGAAACAGCTCACCAAAGCAGACTTTTGGGGATGTTAGTTTTGGCTTCTGAACACCTTTGAGGTGCCATTGGTCCATGATTACGTAATCAGTGCGATTACTTTTCCTCAAATTTCTTATTCCACAGGGATCAGACAGGAAAATGACAACACCAGCCATATCAATACACTGGAGAGAGCTGGTACAGATGTATCCACACATGTACATTCGCTCACCGAGAGATTTTAAAGATTCAAGGGGGTCACATAGTGGACAAAAGACCACCTTGTCATGCTATATCTTTTCAATCAGAGTACATACATTGACGGTGCCATTCACTGTGATAAATAGAACACAAAGTAAAGATGTGGTGGTGCTTCTTGAACTATCTGGCCACAGAAGCAAGGTGGCGTGCACAACATTTCAATCCTTTTTATTCCATCTTATTATTTACTTGATAAAAAAACTGATGAAAATTAAGATACTAATTATATAAAATTAAATTCCAAAAAAAAAAGTATCTTCCAAAAAATTATGTAGTCAAAAACGGTCTGAAAAACGTCTTTCTTTGGTGTGAGATATGAGCTAAAATCAAAATTGAACATTTCACCTCGACTCCCTCACATAATTGGTTGTCATCATTTGTACTGTAAACATACTTATCTATTAAAGTTTTTTTTTCTAATAAAAGAGCATGTTTCTATTTTGTATGTTATTCAATTAATTGAAGGGAACAAACTATGGTTATTTGTTGAATACTTCCAACTGAAATCAGAGCAGAAATTGATAATTGTGGGGAAAAAAAACAAGTTTCATTAAAAAAAAAAAAAGAAAATAACTTTTTTTGCAAATTTAATAAATGAATAATTTACCTGATGTATGAGAAACTTGCGTTCTCGCAGATATGAACAGCACACTAACCACAATGTCAGGGAAACTCCCATGCATTCTGTTTTTAAAAGGGAAGTATTAACAGAATTAAATATAACAATATTAATAACCAGCATGGGGAAATTACGTCAGTTAAAGTTTATAAAATTCCATTTCGGTTTCTTTTCTATTAACAGTGCCTAGTTGGAATTGTTCGAAAACCGTATAGTCACGTCTCCGACTTTTTGAACCTTTTTTTCCCTGAAGAATGAATAGAACTTTGTTTGAAGTATACCGAGGCCTTTAACCACACAGCAACAACAGACCCATGCATGTACCTCTCCCAGAGGACAACAGCCTCCAAAACGGAGTCCTCAGATCTGTAGAGGCAAAATAGTCATTTTAATGGGGTCCAAACTGAGCACCTAAACCAGCAGTGGTTACTAAAATGATCTCTCCAAGTCATTAATAAACTGGAAGAGTGTTTGTTTGGACTGGTGAGTTTTTGTTTGTTCGGATGTGGTCGTATCCTTTGTTTGTCTGTCTGGGTGAAAATTGGGTGGAGCTACATCAATAAAGGATAATTGATTTAGAACATTGGTTCTCAAACTGTGGTACGGTTACCACTAATGGTACGCAGGCTTCCTTCAAGTGGTATGTAGAGGAATCGCTGAATGATTAAAGTAAAAAAATAAACACACTTTTAACCCTTTGGTGTGTACAACACCACCGATGTGATCAATAAATTGATTTTAAAAGATTAAACTTTTTATTTATTTTCAATTTTCTCATGTTTATGTATTCCATCATTTGAAGCTAACTTCCTCTCCATATTTGTTACAGTTGTGGGGGGCGTATCCTGTATTTTAAATCCCAATGTTGACAGGTATAGTTTAATCACTTACTTTTCTGACACACAAATTCATATTTTTAAAATACAAGTTAATGTTAGGATTTCAAAGATATATGTTGCATGTATATGACTTATTTGTATATTTAAAAATGTATTAAAAAATACATGAATATGATAACTTTTAAAAGCACATTTTAAATGTTGACATCTTATTTTTTTTTTTTTATCTGTAAGCACAGACCAGTGTTAATGTTCAGACTATTTATAATAGTTAAAGTGGCAGACAATAATACATTTTCTTAATAATAAGAATTAATCTGCCTCGTTTGTGAACTTTGCAGAGCTGTAGCTGCTTAATTAGGCCTACTAAGCTACTGTATTTCAATACTGGATATTATGGTGGTACTTGGAGAGACAATTTCTTTTCTAAGGTGGTACTTGGTGAAAAGAGTTTGAGAACCACTGAATTAAAAGATAAGAAGATGAAATCTTCCTGCAAAATGATATCCATGTTGACTACTTTTAAAAGTTTACAAATACGATAACAGAGGAACATTAAAATACATGCTTGTGCTGTAAGTGAGAGCATTTTGTCATGTACAGAACTAAACAAAAGTTTTAGGCCACCAACACATTTGTTTTAGAGATGGTGTAATGATGTAACATGATTACTCATCACTCTTTTTTCTTATTTTCTTTCTTTTGTCTAGTTGTGAAAGAAAGAGTTGGAGAGAGATAGAAGAATGAGTTCTTGCACTCTTCCGTGAAATATGATAGAGGCTCTGTCCTTGCTTGGAGCTGCATTTCTGCTAGTGGTGTTGGCTGTATTATCTGAACTGATAGAATCATTAAATTCATTTTGTTTAGTCCATCTTGAAAGCACCACATTGGTAATTAATTTATCTTTTAGCATTATAATCATCCCAAACACACTTCTAATGCAGTGAATAAATATCTGAACAGAAAAACAGCTAATAAAACAATGAGTAATGAAATGGCCCCCAAACAGTCCAGACCTAAATATTATAAAGGCGGTATGGAATCACCTGAACAGAAAAGAACGATATGACTGACTAAATCTAAAGATAAAGAGCTGAAAGAACCTTGATATTACACAGCACAATATTTCAGAAAACTTCATTTCAGACTTTAGCGTAAAATCATTTTGTTCTAAATACCGGTTTTACATTTTTGTTGTTGTAATTTTGTATAAATGTTTCCCTGTAGGCCCAAACAGATCAATCAATACATGTTACATATACAGTTCAGTCTACAGATTCATTCTTTAGTTACCATAATAATTTGGGTCAACTTTATTTTAATGTACAATTCACACTATTAACAAACAATTAACTACAATTTCAGCTTAATAAACTAATTGGCTTCTTATTAGAGGTAGTAGTTTGGTTTAGGTATTGGGATGTAAGATAAGAAAATACTTTATATGTGCTAATAAACATTTAATATCTTAAATGGTGTAAATTGTTACTTAAACTAAAATTACAAATATTTGTTTCATAAAATAGACAGATCATCACAGAAAATGAACTGTACTGTTTAGATACAAACATTTATGCATTTAGTAATCAAAACCAAGTCAATTTACACAATTTGAATCATGTTAATTAGGTTGTCTTACTGTAAAGAAAAAGACCAAACACACTGACCAAACATCAAACCGTACAGGAACACCTTTAAAGAACAAAAAAGGCATTTAATTGAATGTAATGTATTATTTAAACACCACAAATGTTTCCACAAGTTCTAGTTTTTCAACATCTGTAAACCACAAGTATGTCAAAAAACCACTAAGTGAGAACACAAAGCTCATCTAGCCTTTTTAGTCAATGTTATGTCTGAGCTCAAGCGATACTCTTGCTCTCTGAAGAGTCACAGGTGACAAAACATAAAAATAAAGTCATGAATTGAGGCAAGATGTGCCACATATAAGATGATGGTAGAGTTAGATGATAAGCAGACCGACCCATTTAATCTGGGTGAGCGAGCTGGTTTCTGTCCCATTTTCACATTTATATTTAGACAAAGAACAGTCTCGGCCATCATCAAGACTGTGTGCATGTGTCTGGCAGAACTAAAAATACTTCCAATGGAGTGCTAACTGATGTAGGTTACCCACGCAAAAACCCATGATATACTAAGTTACCACTCAAATAATGACCAGCCGATTGACTTCTGTACCTTTAGACTAAGTCAATCTCTACTACATTTCCCAAAGGATCTTATTTTTAATCTGTGGTCAATGAAGACAAACAGTTAAAGACATTAAGCTTTTACACGATAAGGACTGTTAATGGCGTTTACCACTCAATAACCAATTAGCTGATGCACAAACAGAAACCATCTGAAGTATGAATGTAATGAATGCATCGAGTGATAGTTGGAATAGATTAGCTTTCTTGTTCACTGCGCATGTTGTAAAAAATGAGAATACAAGTTTACCATTGCTTAATAGGAAACAGTTGACAAAAGTACCATCTTCAAGCAAAATTTTCAGCAAACTTTCATGAAGAACAAAGAGTAGCAAGACAAATAAAACATTTTTACACACATTTAAGCAAACTCTTTAAAGGGCCATGACACCCCCCACTTTCGGTTAAAGTCTACTTCAGAATTTTTTCAAAAGATGCATGATTAATAGGCGTGGAGCTCCGCGAGCATCGGGCAGAAGTGGGCGTGGCCAGCAGGGGAGAAGGGGAGCGAATAACTGTTGTTGACAGTTAGCTCACAAACTGAGACACAAACCGTGAGGAGACGCATGAGTTTATAGTTCACAAAGTTAAAATGCAAAGAAATAAACAGTAATTTATTGCCCTGCTGCATTTGTTATTCGTAATTTCTTATACACATAACCACAATTTATATCATTATAAAGATAAGTGTGTTCATGTAAACACTATAAAAGAGGATTCTTCCTCGATCCCCGTGTCTAAATTATAGATCTTGAATGCAAACTCAGTGCAGCAGGTCTCCTGACCTGCCTATTTTAACCATTAGCCCTGCTGGTAATATAGAGGATTTAGGCAAACACAGCAGCACGGCGATGTGTCTGAATGTGAACGAGCTCCTGATAAAAGTCAACGTCCGCCATTCTTCAATTCTCACACTGCTCTCCCGACAAAAATGCTAGCAGCACACACACAGCTTTGCTGTATGATCGGCCCTGACAGGATCGCGGGGGAAAACATGCAACAAACCCCGTGGATCATGGAAACAAACATATACGAGCCTTCATGAACGGCTACGTGCCATTGGTCTGTGTCTCACAGCTTGCTTGAAACTGGCAGGTCTGCCTTCGGAAAGCACGTGCTCTCATGAATAATTAAGCAGCCGGCTCTTCTCATAGGATAAGAAAACTCTGTTATGAATAATAATAAGAAACCGACGCATCATCATTGCACTTGCAGTACTGCGCTACGTCGCCGATTTTGATCCCACCCCAAAAAGCATTTTAAACCCGGAAGCTAAAATTAGCTGACAAAAGCTCAAAATTATCCAGTTTTCCCCACAATTAAAGCTGACAGGTGCTAACATTGTCTTAACTGATGCTCAACACACACAAATCTGTTAATATAAAAAAAAAAGTTCTCCAGGGTGTCCTGAACCTTTAACTCCTGGTCAAAATGTTGTTAAAATAGGGCCAGTGCTTCATAAACCTGCTTTAGAACCTTTTCTAATGCTGCTCTAGAAAATTGTTATTATGAGTTGAAGTAGACATTACATTTTTTACATTGTATTAATACAATCAGCGTGGGTGCGCCTGTGACATAAACCGATGAGCATTTAGCATATGAACATTAAGTTATGCTGGAGAAAAGTTTGGCTTTTGTCACACAAATACCTAATTATGAACAAAGTCAGAAAAGTTACCTTTAAATTTATTGACAGATTCTACCCAGTGAGTAGCTATTTTTAAAAGATTTAAATCGGAAACTAACACAATGTGCGCTTTCTGTAATTTACAAAGTGAAACAACAGTACATTTCTTTTGGTACCGTTCCTGCACAAAAATATTTTGGAGTAACTTTTGCAAATATGTGATTGAGTTTATATATTCCAATTTTTCTTTGTTTTGGGAAAGTGCGTTATTTGGTTTTATTGATACAGACAATAATACTGAGAAAGCGTTCTACTTCATAAATCTTTTACTTGCTACATATCACATCCATTAATGCAAATTCTACAATATTAAACTACTTTTTAAGGTATTCATAAAAGAATTAAAACAATACTTTTAAACACTTTCCGGTTTAGGAAACACTAAGGCTAGGAAACACAGAGGTAAAGATGGTTTTATATTCGCACATTCGGACATTCGCCTTAATAATATAACTTCATAAAAGTGTAATTTACAAACTCTAAATAGCAAAATCATATTAGCAGCCAGTGACTATCAAGGTACAACATTGTTCACAGTCAAAAAAACAGTGTTAATGTTGTTTTCAAGACACACTTGCATGCTAATTTCGATCGAATATTCAAAGTAACATTGTAAACAATATAGAGACTTCCAAACAAACGAATGTGTGAATATAAAACCAACTTTATCTATATTTGGATTTGGATTATCTTGTCATGCCCCATTTGAAATTCACCTGTAACACCAGTACTTTATTGTGATTTACTTTTAATATTGTGTTTTTATTTTAAGCTTTACTTTATATGTATTTCTTGTTTAACTTATTGTATTTTTTTCTTTACTGTTTTATCCCCCTGGCATCCTCTATGTTCCTTCTATAATTCATAATGTTTCATTATGCTGTAATAATTTAACGTTTCCAAATGAAGTAACGTTACCATAGTATTTGAAAACAGGAAACATCTGGTCATCTTTTAATTAAAGCCAATGTATACTTTCGGTGTTGGTGTTTTCAACGTAAAAATGTAACTAGTGTATTGTGTTCGAATAAATGTACGTTACAGAAAATAACGTTAAAGTTAATGGTTCAAGTCGTTTAAATGACCACAAAACAACTCACTTTATTAGAAAGCACAAAAAAACAAAATTCAATAGAAAAATAGTACGATCATATAATCTTAACTGAGCTGTATTTAATCATTTAGTCTATTTTAATATCACCTCTTCAACATGTTTGTTATTACTAGATTTGTTAGCTTGTAACGTTAGCACGTTAGCCACGGACCTACATCACGGATCTGGATTATGAGGAAAAACTTAGGATTTTAGATCAGATAAATCGAATAAATCGCAAATACATGACACTAATAAGTTACGAATATATTGGTTAAGAAATAACTGCTATACTTCAAGAAATATATGTTGTTGCTGTTGAACAAAAGGCATGACTGCAGTAAGTAAACACTGAGTCAATGTAGTGCTTATAAAAAATAGTGGATCCATAGCAACAGACCAATACGAATACAGCCACGATGCAATATTAGCGATTCAATAAAAAAAACATAATAACGTTAATTTAATTTAATTTACCTGGAGGGGCAGATAAGCCCGTGTCGGGTGGACAGGCGGACGCCATTTTGATTCGGTTATACTGGACCCGATCCCGGACCGGAACCTAACAGGCAGTTTAGTGTCCGGTTCCGGCCAGGCAGCTGCCACACTGACTGAACCGAGACTATAATGACTACTTTATTAAACACTTTCAACTGTCTATACAGAAATTGTTATGCTACGATATAATCGCATTATTGTACATTATTTTAAATGCTTTATTTAAACTGCAATTTATAGTGTACAATACTTGTGCCCATAGTGTGAGTCTTGCCTTGTTAATGTTCTATTAGTTACTGAAATAACCCAGAAAAATAAATAAATTTCAAAAATCTTAATTGATTAGACTGACATACAAGACCTAATTAATTGTGTAATAGTACATTCACATTTAAATTTGAAATTTGTTCATTGTCAAGAAAATAAAGATATGGGCTTAATATGCTAAATATTCATGTGCAAATGCTGTGGCACCATGACATTTGATCTCTTCATGAAACAAATATTGTGCGCACACACACATACAATCAAAAGAACAAACTGTGACGTACTTTCCTAAAAGCACACTTTTAAAGAGACTGTAATTGACAACAGGTTTCTATCTGCACTAAATCGTTAGATAGGCTAAAGGTGTCTTTCTTTGTAAAGTATAATAAAAATAAACAGACAACTGACAACAGATGAAATCGACAGTTGACTCAGCGTTTACTTATCATTCAAGGGGGAAAAGGGAAATGAAATACGACACATACAGTCATTTGTTCTTCATGATAAATGAGAACATGCAATCATAGAAGATTTTAAAAATAGTTTATTTTTATATTATTTACACAACCTAAAATATGTCTGCATAGATGTTTTTATGATAAATGCTAAAAAAACACCTCCCAATAATCAATAAAACATTCTGAAATATAGGTGTAGTATTCATATAAAAACAAAACAAGAGGAAAGTGATTTATATGTACACTGAAATGTATGAAGATGGCACAGTGGCTCAGTGGTTAGCACTGTCACATCACAGCAAAAAGGTCGCTGGTTCGAGTACTGGCTGGGCCAGTTGGCATTTCTGAGTGGACTGTGCATGTTCTCTCAGTGTTCACATGGGTTTCCTCCAGGTGCTCCGGTTTCCCCCACAGTCCAGACATGCGCTGTAGGTTAATTTAATAAACTAAATTGTAGTGAATGAGTGTGTGTAATTGTGGATATGGGTGTTTCCCAATACTGGGTTGCAGCTAGAAGGGCATCAGTTGCGTAAAACATATGCTGGAATTGTTGGTGGTTCATTGTGCTGTGGAGACCTCTGAAATAGAAACTGAGCTGAAAATGAATGAATTGAAAAGTATGCTCTCTGCATAAACGAACCTACATTCATATTAGCAGGGATCTAGGCTCTGCCCCAGTCGTACAATTAAATTTTTAGTGGGCATTTCTTTCTGCCGCTTTCTTTGACCTTGTTTGCCTTGCCAATATGGCGCAGGAGCAGCTTTGTAGCACATTTGACGTGGTTTTTGATTTCAGAGGCACAACAATGATGTTTCACCGGCTCCTTTGTTTTACACATATCATTCAGGTGGCTGCCAAGCTGCAAGAGATTACAGACATTTTTAAAATAAAGAGATACAAAAAAGGGCATTTTGCCCTTAACATTTTAGTCATGCACTTGCACATAAAATGCATTCAAAGTTATTATTATTATGTAGCAGGCACAAAATCAGATGGAAAGTTTGCCCTTACCTCTGCCTCTATACATGCAGGTCTCTCCTGTGCCGCTAGAAGGCAGCACCGTTCAGCCATGTTATCCAGAGAAAAAGAAAAACCCTTCCTGTGGGTAAATAAATGACATTTGGGTTACATAATCTTGAAATATTTTGTAAATCTTATTTACAAGTAACCACAGTTTCTACATGTTGGAAAATCCCCCAAAAATGAGCTTGCTTAGAATCAGCTAAAAAACGTTCTTAAATGCACACTTTCGGTTGCATATCTTTGCAGTTGTGTTTTCTTCTGTCCTTGAACCCATGTTTTTCTGTGCAGGAAGTTATTTTTCAACTGTCCTTGTTTTGACTGCCATTCATGGTCACTGATGTTCAATACAAAAAAGATATACCCAAACAAAAATAGCAAAAACAGAAGGAAAATTTCAAGAAAACAAGTGCAGGTGTTTCTTAAAAAGCATAAAATATTATTCTCGCCCTTATCGGGCAAATATTATGGTGCTCGCCCTTTGGAAACTTTACTCATTGGATTTACAGAGGTCAGGTAAAATGTTGTTTATGCAGCCAATGAAGGATATTTTTTCTATATTTTTGCTTAAAAGCAGCCTTGCTGATTAATTTTTAAAAATAAAACAATATTACAGACGACAAACTGGAGAAGGTTATTTTTCAGACATGAAATCTATATGGAGAAAGACGGTCTTACATGCTCTGGATAGCTGTATGTACATCACAGAAAGTATGGAGAGTTGGAGGAGCAGCAGAGGAGCTTAGCTGTCCATCAGTAGAACTGTATCCTGGATCAGGGGCAGCAGATGTGAAACAGGCGTACTGCTCTTCTCTTTTCTTCTTTTCACAGCACTCAAACTGCTGCCTTTTGCTTTTTTTCTCATCTTTACAAAACTTATCAACCATCTTCTTCCACTAAAATACATAGAGAAAAGTTACCATACACAAGCAACAAAAATCAATAGAAAATGTACTCATTTGACAGGGCACCTATATTTTACTCAGAAACAAATAAGATATTGCATAAAAAATTCAGATTAATTTGTTTGCTATATTTGTATATCCTGTTAATTTTCTATCACACAAACTTGCTTACTTCCATAAACTCATAACCTATATAATCATAAGCATTATGCATATACAGTATATTCCCGATTACATTAAGCATTCTTTATATACCCTGCCGATCCAAAAAAAAAAAAAAAAGTAACTGCTAGGATTTAATTAAGCAAACAGGTAAGAGGTAGGAGCCTCCTGTTGAATAATTACTGCATGGATGATTCTGTTTCAGCTTTAAAAAGTTATTAAACCCTAACTGATGAGGAGAGGCGCTTCTTAAACCACCATGCCAAAAGTCATGGAAAAATATGTTAATCTGTTTCACAAGGATCAATTTATTGACACGGTTTAAGCAAATTAAACATCTAAGGAGATTTCTGAAACTACTAAAACTATGTAAAGAACTGTCTTATGCATATTAAAAACTGGAGGGATAGGATCTGAGGAAGAAATGTGGTCAAAAATATCTTGAATGTTTGAAATTGGCCATCACTTAAATGTCTGGTATAATCAAATCAAATCACAAAAAAAAACAAAAAAACAGTAGAACTCAGCTACGTTTAGTAGGGAAATTAAGATTGTAACAATGTGAGAGGAACTCAAGTAATTGGTCTAAACAGTAGTGTATGCTTCAGAAAACCACTTATCAGTGGGGCTAATTTGTAAAAAAAAAGACTTCAGTTTACTAGGGAGCATAAAAATTAGACTCTGGAGAAATGGAAGAAGGTCATGTGGTCTGATGAGTCTGGATTTACCATTCCAGTGACATTGATGCATCAGGGTAAGAAGAGAGGCGAGGAAGTGATGCACCCATCATGCCTAGTGCCTACTGTACAAGTCTTTTGAGGCAGTGCAATGATATTGGGATCCTTGGTCAGCTCCTAGGTTAAGCAATGATATGTGCCCAAATATTGAGGTCAGCTGATCACGTTGCATCATCAATAGATTTTGTTTTCCCTGATGGTACAGGTATATTCTAAGATAACAATGCCAGGATTCATTGAGCTCAAACTGTGAATGGTGTTTTAGGCTGCATAAAGGATTGGTCACCACAAAGTCCAGACCTTAACCTAATTGAGAATTTGTGGCATATGCTGAAGAACTCTTTGAGCAGCACTCTCTCTAACATCATCAATACAAGATTGTTGCAAAAAACTGTATGCAACACTGCATGGGAATAAATGTTGTGTCATTGATATTATATTCTCACCTTCTGTTCAGCACAGCGTTGTACACCCTTTTTCTCCTTGCAGCACCGGTTATATTCCCTCTCCAGGACATTGATGGCCTTTGACTGGCGGACCAGCCAGCCATAGCCAGTGTGAGGAAGACAACTGGTGATGTATCGTGGTCGGATCTTGCGATGAGCACAGATATTCGCAATGTTGGAGGACTCAGGACGCCCAGGTGGGAAAGTGAGGTCTGGAGCTGCAGTCTGCTTCTTTAGGGCTTTTGGAGAAGCCAATGAGCTGAATGATTAAAGACAGTGTAAGCATAATTTTGAGCATATGTGAAAATATTATTTAAAATGTGCTTATTTTCATGGTGGGAGATAAAGTATTTGTTGAATCACCACCTACACCTCAGTGCTGAGCCTGAGAATGACTAATTTAGTCTGTTTAATAATTGAGAAGACGACAAATGCTTTTTCTGTTCAACTGCCTTTATTTGTGTGACTTAAACTTAAAGCATAAATCCCACTGAAAAAATTCCCAATTAATTTGTCTGCTTCCCTTTGTAAAAATATATATATTTAAAATAATATAATAGGACCTTAAAAGGAACACCTCATTTTTTTAATATTACAAGCTCTCTAGAGTTAAAAAGTTTAGTTTTACCATTTTAAAATTCAATCAGCCGATCTCCAGGTCTGGTGAGATTGCTTTTAGCTTAGCATAAATTATTGACCTCGGTGAAACTAGCATCTCACTCAAAAAAAACGAAGTTGCTAGGTCCATATGGCTAGGAACAATATTCTTATTCTGGCATAAATATGAATGAACTTCGTTGCCGTACCGTGGCTGCTGCAGGCACAATGATGTCACACAGTGCATCCGGAAAGTATTCATAGCAACTCACTTTTGCACCTCACATTTTTTTTATGTTACAACCTTATTCCAAAATGGATTACATTTATTTATTTCCCTATGTTGTTAATGTGAAAAAAAAGTTTTTTTGAAATTGTTACAAATTTATTAAAAATAAAAAACCTGAAAAATCACATGTAAATAAGTATTCACAGCCTTTGCCGTGAAGCTCTAAACTGAGCTCAGGTACATTCTGT